CTAAGGGCTGTTCTTACGCACGACACAACGCGGAGTGCCTGTACACAGCCCTTAGCCGTGGTACATTGGCCATTTATCACAAACCCCAGAGGTGCCTTATTGCTATTATAAACTGGTTGCCAACGTAATTAGAGCAGTACAAATAAATGATCCATGGTATATTGTCTGATATACCATGGCTGTCAGCCAATCAGCATTCAGGGCTCGAACCACCCAGTTTATAATTATAATTATAAACCGGCTAGTTTGGGTCCTGGATGCTGATTGGCTGACAGCCACGGTATATCAGACAATATACCATGGATCATTTATTGTGTATGTGTGCCATTCAGAGGGAGAATGGGCAAGACAAAATATTGAAGTGCCTTTGAACGGGGTATGGTAGTAGGTGCCAGGCGCACCGGTTTGTGTCAAGAGCAGCAACGCTGCTGGGTTTTTCACGCTCAACAGTTTCCCGTGTGTATCAAGAATGGTCCCCCACCCAAAGGACATCCAGCCAACTGGACACAACTGTGGGAAGCATCGGAGTCAACATGGGCCAGCATCCCTGTGGAACGCTCTCGACACCTTGTAGAGTCCATGCCCCCGACAGTGCTGAGCGATTGGTGCTTTTTGAGGTCTGTTCGGTTTCAGTTAGATGAAAAAAAAAATCATGGTTTTCGATTTGGTTTTGATATTTGGGTTGAATGATGTAACAACACAGAATGTATACTAGCAAATATTAGAGAATAGGACCATTCTATATGACTGGTATACTAGATAATACTAGAGAATAGAGCCATTCTGTATGACTGGTATACTAGCAAATACTAGAGAATAGAGTCATTCTGTATGACTGGTATACTAGCAAATACTAGAGAATAGAGCCATTCTGTATGGCTGGTATACTAGCAAATACTAGAGAATAGAGTCATTCTGTATGACTGGTATACTAGCAAATACTAGAGAATAGAGTCATTCTGTATTACTGGTATACTAGAAAATACTAGAGAATAGAGCCATTCTGTATGACTCGTATACAGTGAGGGAAAAAAGTATTTGACCCCTCTGCAAAACATAACTTAGTACTTGGTGACAAAACCCTTGTTGGCAATCACAGAGGTCAGACGTTTCTTGTAGTTGGCCACCAGGTTTGCACACATCTCAGGAGGGATTTTGTCCCACTCCTCTTTGCAGATCTTCTCCAAGTCATTAAGGTTTCGAGGCTGACGTTTGGCAACTCTAACCTTCAGCTCCCTCCACAGATTTTCTATGGGATTAAGGTCTGGAGACTGGCTAGGCCACTCCAGGACCTTAATGTGCTTCTTCTTGAGCCTCTCCTTTGTTGCCTTGGCCGTGTGTTTTGGGTCATTGTCATGCTGGAATACCCATCCACGACCCATTTTCAATGCCCTGGCTGAGGGAAGGAGGTTCTCACCCAAGATTTGACGGTACATGGCCCCGTCCATCGTCCCTTTGATGCAGTGAAGTTGTCCTGTCCCCTTAGCAGAAAAACACCCCCATAGCATAATGTTTCCACCTCCATGTTTGACGGTGGGGATGGTGTTCTTGGGGTCATAGGCAGCATTCCTCCTCCTCCAAACACGGCGAGTTGAGTTGACGCCAAAGAGCTCGATTTTGGTCTCATCCGACCACAACACTTTCACCCAGTTCTCCTCTGAATCATTCAGATGTTCATTGGCAAACTTCAGACGGGCCTGTATATGCGCTTTCTTGAGCAGGGGGACCTTGCGGGCGCTGCAGGATTTCAGTCCTTCACGGCGTAGTGTATTACCAATTGTTTTCTTGGTGACTATGGTCCCAGCTGCCTTGAGATCATTGACAAGATCCCCCCCGTGTAGTTCTGGGCTGATTCCTCACCGTTCTCATGATCATTGCAACTCCACGAGGTGAGATCTGGCACCCCAATGGTGGAACAAGCTCCCTCACGACGCCAGGACAGCGGAGTCACTCACCACCTTCCGGAGACATTTGAAACCCCACCTCTTTAAGGAATACCTGGGATAGGATAAAGTATTCCTTCTAACCCCCCCCCCCCCCCCAAATTGTAAAGTGGTTATCCCACTGGCTATAGGGTGAACGCACCAATTTGTGAGTCGCTCTGGCTAAGAGCGTCTGCTAAATGACGTTAATGTGCCCTTGAGCAAGGCACTTAACCCTAATTGCTCCTGTAAGTCGCTCTGGTTAAGAGCGTCTGCTAAATGACTAAAATGTAAATGTAAATGTAGATCTTGCATGGAGCCCCAGGCCAAGGGAGATTGACAGTTATTTTGTGTTTCTTCCATTTGCGAATAATCGCACCAACTGTTGTCACCTTCTCACCAAGCTGCTTGGCGATGGTCTTGTAGCCCATTCCAGCCTTGTGTAGGTCTACAATCTTGTCCCTGACATCCTTGGAGAGCTCTTTGGTCTTGGCCATGGTGGAGAGTTTGGAATCTGATTGATTGATTGCTTCTGTGGACAGGTGTCTTTTATACATTTTACATTACATTTTAGTCATTTAGCAACTTACAGTTAGTGAATACATATTTTTTTTATACTGGCCCCCCGTGGGAATCGAACCCACAACCCTGGCGTTGCAAACGCCATGCTCTATCAACTGAGCTACATCCCTGCCGGCAATTCCCTCCCCTACCCTGGACGACGCTGGGCCAATTGTGCGCCGCCCATGAGTCTCCCGGTCGTGGATTCGAACCAGGATCTCTAGTGGCACAGTTAGCACTGCAATGCAGTGCCTTAGACCACTGCGCCACTCAGGAGTACAGGTAACAAACTGAGATTAGGAGCACTCCCTTTAAGTGTGCTCCTAATCTCAGCTCGTTACCTGTATAAAAAGACACCTGGGAGCCAGAAATCTTTCTGATTGAGAGGGGGTCAAATACTTATTTCCCTCATTAAAATGCAAATCAATTTATAACATTTTTGACATGTTTTTCTGGATTTTTTAAATTTTTATTCTGTCTCTCACTGTTCAAATAAACCTACCATTAAAATTATAGACTGATCATTTCTTTGTCAGTGGGCAAATGTACAAAATCAGCAGGGGATCAAATACTTTTTCCCTCACTGAACTAGCTAATACTAGAGAATAGAGCCATTCTGTATGACTGGTATACTGCGTAGCACTGGCTGAATAATCTGCAAACAGACAAGATGACACTACGGTAGAATATAAACCATTACAGAACCAAGAGAGGTAAAGGACAGACTTCAGTTGGACAGTCTGGACTGGTTGAGGAAAAGCCAGAAAAAAAAGCAGCTTTTTCTGGATGCTCACTGGGAGTTCTGGAAACTAACCAACTCTGTTCAGTATCTGCCAGTTGTGACTCTCCTGTTTGGTTTGGTAACACATCCTACGAACACCAAATATATTGGCATTTACTGCCACCCTTTAGAATTAAATTACACGTATCGTAGTCCAAAAAAATAAAATGCACTGCTACACTGGGGCTTGGTAGTGAATTATGCAAGGCGGTCCTAGCTTTTATGAATGCCTCTAATCACATGGCCTGGTCTACTACACACAGCACTGGAGTGAGGGTCACAGACGTAAGATTACTCTGCCTTTAACGTCGCTGGTCATCTCTGAGGGTCACAGACGTAAGATTACTGGCTGCCTAGTCATTCCTCTGCCTTTAACATCGCTGGTCATCTCTGAGGGTCACAGACGTAAGATTACTGGCTGCCTAGTCATTCCTCTGCCTTTAACATCGCTGGTCATCTCTGAGGGTCACAGACGTAAGATTACTGGCTGCCTAGTCATTCCTCTGCCTTTAACATCGCTGGTCATCTCTGAGGGTCACAGACGTCAGATTACTGGCTGCCTAGTCATTCCTCTGCCTTTAACATCGCTGGTCATCTCTGAGGGTCACAGACGTAAGATTACTGGCTGCCTAGTCATTCCTCTGCCTTTAACATCGCTGGTCATCTCTGAGGGTCACAGACGTAAGATTACTGGCTGACTAGTCATTCCTCTGCCTTTAACATCGCTGGTCATCTCTGAGGGTCACAGACGTAAGATTACTGGCTGACTAGTCATTCCTCTGCCTTTAACATCGCTGGTCATCTCTGAGGGTCACAGACGTAAGATTACTGGCTGCCTAGTCATTCCTCTGCCTTTAACATCGCTGGTCATCTCTGAAGAATACACTCATTAGTTTACAGAGAAGACCAGTGAGACCATATTTGGGAGGTCGTAAAGCGACTGGTGATCAGAGATGATGGGATATCTCTAAGCTGGAGATGCACACCACATTCAGCTCCATTATTTCAGTAAACTACAGTGCCACCTAGTGGATGACTTCAGCTCCTGCCACACCATGCTAGTGCTCTGCAATAACCATTTTCACAAAGTACAATTCAGTGTTTCAGTCAACTAATACAGTGCACTAAAGTGGGAAAACACTATTGCTCATAATCTTAATACTTCTGCCTTTCAGTAGATGTACTATAACGTGAACGCCATCCACTAATCTACAGAGGTTTGATGAATGTTCATGCACTACCTCAAGGAAAAGGCAGCCATTTTAAGTGTTTGATCGCTTTATTAAGCAGTTTTCAATCCAAATGACTTTTCAAAGTAGTCAGCTATCTGTTATCTCTGAACAGCTGATATTCTGAGTACTGACAGGAAGAGGAAATAGAACAATGGAATGTTGTGGTCACATTTGTCAAACGTTTTCAATTAATTGATAGCTTTGCAATTTTTTTTGTCAACTTTTGTACTTTTAAGAACAAGGACTAGCTTCATCTTCTCTAGACCTGGCAGAACGTGTATTCATTTTTGTAAAGAAAGACTTTATCATTTTGCGATGTTTTCAGAGTTTTCCGTTTTTTTCCATGTTTAAATTTTTTCTAAAATTTTCTTCGGTGAAGCAAGTTAAGGATTTCCGTCTCTGAAACAAAAAACACATGACCATTAGTAGCATACTAACATCGATGTAACATTTTAACAGCTTAAACAATACAACATTTACATTGTAAGTGGTTCTTACCAGTTCTTAGCTGGGGACTCCAGCAGGGTTGGTGGGCTTCTGGGCGGACTCCTTGGCCTGGTGGGCCTGCAGCACAGCGACAGCCTCATCCACCTTGGATCGGAGAGACTCGGGAGACTCCAGCATGTGGAGCAGCTCAGAGTTGTCTATCTCCAACAGCATGCCAGTGATCTTTCCAGCCAGGCTGGGGTGCATGTTCTGGATGAGGGGGAACAGGCGCTCACCTGCAGAGGGAGTGGGGGGGAGAGAATCCACCATCAGGAAAAGACCCAGACACAGAAAGAGGATCACCAGCCATTTATGTAATAGGTTGGGGGGGGTCTTGTCTCAGTCAAAAAATAAGAATCACTGAAATTCATATGTTCAGACATTTCTACTGAAAACATCATTGACAAAGAGCACCTAAATGTTGATCGTCTTTTAAAGCTGCAATATGCAACTTTTTGGGCGACCCGCAAACATTCATATAGAAATGTGAGTTATAGATCTGTGATTCTCATTGAAAGCCAGTCTAAGAAGTGGTAGATCTGTTCTGTGCCTCCCGTTATGAAGTTTAGTTTTTGCGTCTTTTACTTGTGGTTTTGTACACCAGCTTCAAACAGCTGAAAATACAATACGTTTGGTTATGGGAAATATATATTTCACAGCGGTACAATGATTCTCTACACAATGACTGCTTGTTTTGTCACATAAATTGAAATTAGGCTAACTATTCGAATTTCAGCAACCAGGAAGTGGCGGGAGAAATCAATTGGCGAATATCACAGCCAATCACAACACTGCCGGGAAAGTAACATTGTGAAACACTTATCATTCCACTATTACTGCAGATGTATTATGGACATTCTCTGAAATTACAACGCACAAATTCTAATAAATTCAACGTGTAGCACCTTTAACTGAAGGAGCTGGAGATCGGAAAGGCCAGTAAAAGAGAAGCGACCAGAAGAGAGGGACTTTTAAAAAAGAAAAACTCACCCAACATCTGCTTCTGTTCCTGGGGAGGAGCAGCGGCCAGCATGGAGGCAGTCAGAGGCTCCTGCCCCTGGACGTGGACAGCCGGCTGCTGCATCACCTGGGGCTGGCTGGCCATGTGCTGCTGGGGGTTCCTCACGCCTGCTGCATACTTGTACTGGGGCATCCTCACCGGGGATGCAGCCGCCGCCCCGGCAGGACGCTGGCCCAGGGCCTGGGTGGCTGAGGAGAGAGGAGGAGGAAGTCGCTCAACATCCAAGAGAGATTCATATTTCAAGACATACTGAGTTGGTACAAAACATTAGGAACACCACCCTAATATAGAGTTGCGCCCGCCTTTTACACTCAGAACAGCCTCAATTCGTCGGGGCATGGACTCTACAAGGTGTCGAAAGCGTTCCACAGGGATGCTGGCCCATGTTGACTCCGATGCTTCCCACAGTTGTGTCAAGTTGGCTGGATGTCCTTTGGGTGGTGGACCATTCGTGATTCACACGGGAAACTGTTGAGCGTGAAAAGCCCAGCAGCGTTGCAGTTCTTGACACAAACCGGTGCGCCTGGCACCTACTACCATACCCCCGTTCAAAGGACTCTTAAATATTTTGTCTTTCCCATTCACCCTCTGAATGGCACACATACACAATCCATGTCTGAATTGTCTCAAGGCCTTAAAAATCCTTTAACAGACAGTATAATCAGGTAAATGGTAGCAAGATGAGAGGTGGATGTGAAAATCCCCAAGCTATGTGCAGGGCTGGGTTACCAGCTAAACTCACCCATTCTCTGGCCGGCCATCATGCGTGGCACCTGAGAGGACGAGGGCCTCATGGCGCCAAAGGTCTGGGGTCTGGGGGCGGACGGACGCATGGCGTTGGGCATGTTCTGGAAGTCTGGAAGTAGAAGGGAACCATTCAAAATCTAACAACTTCCTGGATGGAGAATTAGGTTCTAGTCTCCAGTGGAACTGTTGACTAAATAGTGATTGTGGACACACCAAACGAGCAGTTAAATTCTAAAATGTCAACTATGCAGATAGTTACGCTGTGGTCTGACACCCTGGGTGGCCCAGCGTGGGCCGGGTCTCAGCTGAGCCAGCTGGTTGGTGGAGTAGTAGGCGGCACGGTTCTGAGTCTGGGGGATGGCAGCCATGAAGTACCCAGAGGGAGGGGCAGGCTGGTAGGGGTTGAGGACTGGGTTGGGTACGGGCCGGACGGTGGCCATCCTCTGCATGTACTGGTTGGTGAGGTGAGCCTGGCGCTCCTCTTTCCTCTGAGCCAGCGCCACGTACAGCGGCTTGGTGGCCACGATGCGCCCGTTCATCTCCGTCACAGCCTTGGTGGCCTCCTCGGGGGAGGAGAAGCACACGAAGCCGAAGCCCTTGCTGCGGCCACCCTCCATCATCACCTATAGAGAGGTACATTAGATCCACAGTGGTTTTTAAAGTGTTATCTGAACCTGAATGACAGCGGGTGTAGAATCTCTGCTATGCAGAGCAGGCAATAAGCTCAACACCACAGTTCTCTCTCTCCCCAGACAACTGATATAGTGGAGTTCATTTCTCACCCTGTGCTAATACAGTTGTAAGTTAACAATGCAATTCTACATTTGTAATCCCCCAAGTTTCTCCTGACATCTCCAGGTAATGTTCAATCAGAGGGTGACGTAGGGGGGAGGGAATGGCCGGCAGGGATGTAGCTCAGTTGGTAGAGCATGGCGTTTGCAACGCCAGGGTTGTGGGTTCGATTCCCACGGGGGGGGGCCAGTATGAAAAAATGGTATGCACTAACTGTAAGTCGCTCTGGATAAGAGCGTCTGCTAAATGACTAACATGTAAAATGTTGACTCAGGGAGGTTACCTTGGCACTGGTGATGGTACCGAAGGGAGAGAACTCCTTCCTTAGACGCTCATCGTCGAGGCCATCGTCCAGATTCTTGACGTACAGGTTGACCCCCTGGTAGCGGGTCATGCGGTCCTGTTTCATCTGTTCAAACTTGCGTTTCAACTCCGTCTGGCGCTCTCCTTTCTTCTGGGCGCGGCCCACGTACACCTGGCGGCCGTTAAAATCCTTCCCGTTCATCTCATCTACAGCCTGAGGAGAGAATATACGGATCCAGGTGGTCCCATTGAGGTCAGAAACCCTGTTCTCCAGGACACTCAGCCCTTTTGAACATCCAGACAGTGATGATAAGGAAACGTATGGCCCAACTCACCCTCTGAGCATCCTCATGCCTCTCAAAGCTGACGAAGCCGAACCCTCTGGACTTCCCGCTGTCGTCCGTCATCACCCTGATGCTCAGGGCCGGTCCCGGAACGATAGAGTCCAACACAAAACGGCATCAAATTCTAATTCTACGGAACCAACATTTACTACAAGAGGAACTATCAACACATCTGGGCCTGGACTCATTCATTACATTTGACAAAACATTTCTTATTGGACATCACGAGGTAGGCCCCCACCCCCGCTTCGTCCTGGTAGCGTCCTAGTGAATACATCCCTGGGGGTGACACACGACACGTGGCAGACACTTACCATATTTCCCAAACAGCTCCCTCAGCTTCTCATCATCCATATCTTCTCCAAAGTTCTTGATGTACACATTGGTGAACTCTCTGGCTCTGGCTCCAAGCTCGGCCTCGCGCTCTTTGCGCGATTTGAAGCGTCCGACGAACCTGTTGTGTGTGTTAATAAAATATTATTGTCAGTTGAACAGTGTGTAGAAAAGGCTACCGATCTGTAGGGGGGGAAACACGAGCTTGGTAACGTTGGTTACATCTACATTAACCACCATCTAGACTAAACCCCAGGGAAGAGTATTGAGATTGACAAGGCAGTGAGTAGACAAGCACAAGGATACAGAGCAACCGTTCTATATTAGTTTGACTTGAGAAAAACCCGAGTTAGTAAGATTAAAGTTAGAACTCACACAAAAACAAATCCTGCTATTATTTAACCATTATTGAACCAGGAGTTAAATGAAAACCAGTTCCCTTTTACAACTCGGTTACATCTCTGTACGTTTGAGTTATTGCTGCACTAACGTTGGACCCGTCTATTATTTACTATGTCCAAGTTGGTAAAGGTGGAGCAATCACACTTACACTTTTCTGTCATTGAGCAACATGCCGTTCATTTTCTCAATGGCTCTTTCAGCAGCCTCCTGGGTCTCAAAGTGCACAAAGCCATATCCCTTTGAGCCATTCTCATCACAAACCACCTTGGAGAAAGGACATTAAAGAGCACAGGCAATTGTTTTTTTTAAAACATCATGCATATCAAAACCGACTCAATTCAACACAGACTTCAACCAACACCACTGCATTGTTTCGGCATGCTGAACAACACAGCATATGGCAGCCACACGGCCAGAACCGTCTCTCAGCCTACCTTGCAGGAGAGGATGTTGCCGAAGGCAGAGAAGGTGTCGTAGAGGGCCTTGTTGTCAATGGACTTGTCCAAGTTCTTGATGAAGATGTTGCCCACCCCACTCTTCCTCAGGGAAGGGTCGCGCTGAGACCACATGATGCGCAGAGGTCTCCCCTTGATGACGTCGAAGTTCATGGTGTCCAGGGCACGTTCAGCTAGGAACATATCGGGAGCCATACCATTAGAATGCTGTTGAAGGAAACTGCTCCATTGTATGTGGGGGGAGAATATTGTATTTATTTATTTCACCTTTATTTAACCAGGTAAGCCAGTTGAGAACAAGTTCTCATTTACAACTGCGACCTGGCCAAGATAAAGCAAAGCAGTGCGATAAAAAACAACACAGAGTTACATATGGGGTAAAAAAAAAAAAAAAAAAAAAAATATATATAGAGTGTGTGCAAATGTAGCAAGTTATGGAGGTAAGGCAATAAATAGGCTATAGTGCAAAATAATTACAGTTAGTATTAACACTGGAATTATAGATGTGCAAGAGATGATGTGCAAATAGAGATACTGGGGTGCAAATTAGCAAAATAAATAACAATATGGGGATGAGGTAGTTGGGTGGGCTAATTTCAGATGGGCTGTGTACAGGTGCAGTGATCGGTAAGGTGCTCTGACAACTGATGCTTAAAGTTAGTGAGGGAGATAAGAGTCTCCAGCTTCAGAGATTTTTGCAGTTCGTTCCAGTCATTGGCAGCAGAGAACTGGAAGGAATGGCGGCCAAAGGAGGTGTTGGCTTTGGGGATGACCAGTGAGATATACCTGCTGGAGCGCAGACTACGGGTGGGTGCTGCTATGGTGACCAATGAGCTAAGATAAGGCGGGGATTTGCCTAGCAGTGATTTATAGATGACCTGGCGTCTGCTAAATGGCATATTATTTATTTATTTATTAAGTCAAGGATCGGTAGGATAGTCAGTTTTACGAGGGCATGTTTGGCAACATGAGTGAAGGAGGCTTTGTTGCGAAATAGGAAGCCGATTCTAGATGTAACTTTGGATTGGAGATTCTTAATGTGAGTCTGGAAGGAGAGTTTACAGTCTAACCAGACACCTAGATATTTGTAGTTGTCCACATACTCTAGGTCAGACCCGTCGAGAGTAGTGATTCTAGTCGGGTGGGCGGGTGCCAGCAGCGTTTGATTGAAGAGCATGCATTTAGTTTTACTAGTGTTTAAGAGCAGTTGGAGGTTACGGAAGGATTGTTGTATGGCATTGAAGCTCGTTTGGAGGTTTGATAACACAGTGTCCAATGAAGGGCCAGATGTATACAAAATGGTGTCGTCTACGTAGAGGTGGATCTGAGAGTCATATTGTAGCAGTGATGCAGCTGATACTCCAATGAATCATTGAACCTAACGCTACAGCAAATTAGGACACTCAAAGACTAGTTGGCCTACATAGCTAGCTGAACTGAAACCAAGTCCAACTGGATGACCTAATGTTATTCATCCCACGGGTTGCCATTTTTGGTGCAACGTGAACGTGCGAGCCACGTCATGTTATATTTTCATTGGCGCATCCATAAATTAAACATGAAATACGTTGTTTTTTTAAATCATCAATTCTTACCATCGGCTGGCTGTTGGAAGTTAACGTAGGCATATCCGAGGGATCGACGAGTGATCATGTCCCTGCAGACTCGAATGGAGAGGATAGGCCCGGCGGGGCTGAACTTCTCGTACAGCATGGCCTCGGTGATATCCTGGTGCAGGTCGCCGACGTAGAGGGAGGCCATCGGGTAACTGGGAGCGCTCGGATTCATGTCTGCTGGCGCGTTTTGTCAAGACGACGTTTTTAAATAAAAAAATACGCTGGGGGGGAAAAAAAACGTTACGTTGTCAGGCTAACGTCTGCAAAATGGTCTCTGGTGACGCCGAAGATTCGTTATTTGCTAAAAAGGTTTAACGTTACCTCGCAATCAGGCCTAAAAAGCAATGCGGGCCGGCTAACGTTACCTTCTGGGAAAATAATTTCGGACTAAAGTTGCTAGTAGTTACAATATTCTTAAACTACGACTAGTTAACGTTACAATAACAACAGATGCGATATCGACAATTCCGATAAACTGCTAGTTATATCTATAAAAAAAAAAGTCTATTTTTTCCGCAGCAGTTAGCTAGCTATCAATATGAAATCACCCACGCCTTCAACGATAATGTTATCAAGGGAGCAAAATGGCCTTCTTCGAATTCTCGTCCTATTTTCGACGGGTTACTTGTTAGTCCTGCTTCACCGAGTTTTTTTTTTTCTTACAAAAATATTCTTCCCCTGTGTTTATTTTTTTAGTTTTTTTGTTTTTTGATAATAAAATGTGTGCCGAGTCTAGCGTCGCTACGCAGAAGGGAATGAGAGCGCGGTCATGTGGTGTGGAACCCCCCTAAACCCACATCTCGCTGCTCCTCTCGCGTCATCTCATCCTATCTACACGAGATCTTACAAATCAATACCTCTATGATCAATACACTGTTGTTTTTTTCCCCCCCTTCAATTCTACCAAAAACTATTCCTTGAAAAATGCATTATTTTACCGCTATTGCTGCTCTCATCACCAAATGTAACACAGCCATTGGTCTTTGAGGTTTTCTACCTATCTGTAACAGGGGGAAGTCACGGGAAAAAAAACAGCATACACAGGTTCAAGACAGAAACGTAGTTATCACAGATGGTAACTGATGAGCAGCAGGCTGGCTGGTGGATGCCCACATTTTCTTCCGAAAATAATGAAGATAAATCATAGACAACGCATGCACGTGTTTTGCATGTGGGCTTTGGATTGAACTGAGTGACAACCCGCCAATGTGCCTGGTAAGAATAGACATTCTACCAGCCAATGCCAAACTCTACCAGCTGGTGGCTGGTGTTAATTTCCTTCCCTGCTGATGAGGGAGTCAGTCTGGTAAATCAGCAGATGATGTCATTTTGAGTCATATCCCTTGAATGACAACCATTTTGTGCGATGCAGTATGCATGCAGTAGTTGTTTTAGCAAAACATTTTTTTTTTTTAGAAGTAACCCAAGATAGACCAAAGCTTGTCGTTTAAAATGGGAGCAAATGAATCATAGTTAGGACAGAACAAGCAAGGAGGTGGGCAGAGCCGATCACGAGCTAGTGAGATTCTATTGGCGTGTTCTAGCATTTATTTGCATATTTCCGTTACGGAACGCCTACTATGTGAAGTGCGAGTGTACAATAACTCATTTCAAGTTTAAAAAACGCAGCCCACTCTGTTAGTTATTGATTCTCGTTTTGGAAACAGAAAACTATATGGAGATCAAATGTTTCATTGATACAATTCTCCCACTGCCGGTCACTGGGCTTCCTCTCATCACCATATTTGGTAGTGAGTGGAAACACCAACCAGATGCTTCACATTTATACATCCGGTGAAGTATCTGGCTCATTGTTCTATCTGTGGTTTTAGTTTTCATGTTTTTTCCCCACAGTAGAGAACGATCTGTTCAAGGACACCTTCAGCCTGCTCCTTCCTCTCACAGCCACCAGGGGGAGCAGTCAGTAGGAGAAAATAATAGAATACAGTAACCATACCTGTCTGAGCCCAAACCTGGGGTCTGCTTCAGTGTATTTCTATTGTTTTACCCCAGTGGGAGGTGTGGCTGGGTTCAGGATCTATAGATATGTTAATAAAAACCCAGAGTTTCTCACGTCTCCAGTCTCCCCAACACGTCTGCCACGCTGATCCTCAACACGGGGGCCCCTCAGGGGTGCATGCTCAGCCCCCTCCTGTACTCCCTGTTCACCCATGACTGCATGGCCAGGCACGACTCCAACACCATCGTTAAGTTTGCCGACGACACAACAGTGGTAGGCCTGATCACCGACAACGATGAGACAGCCTATAGGGAGGAGGTCAGAGACCTGGCCGTGTGGTGCCAGGATAACAACCTCTCCCTCAACGTGACCAAGACAAAGGAGATGATTGTGGACTACAGGAAAAAAAAGAGGACTGAGCACGCCCCCATTCTCATCGACAGGGCTGTAGTGGAACAGGTTGAGAGCTTCAAGTTCCTTGGTGTCCACATCACCAACAAACTATCATGGTCCAAACACACCAAGACAGTCGTGAAGAGGGCACGACAAAGCCTATTCCCCCTCAGGAGACTGAAAAGATTTGGAATGGGTCCTCAGATCCTCAAAAAGTTATACTGCTGCACCATCGCCTGGTATGGCAACTGCTCGGCCTCCGACCGCAAGGCACTACAGAGGGTAGTGCGTACAGCCCAGTACACCACTGGGGCCAAGCTTCCAGGACCTCTATACCAGGCGGTGTCAGAGGAAGGCCCTCAAAATTAACTTGAGCCACCCTAGTCATAGACTGTTCTCTCTGCTACCGCATGGCAAGCGGTAGCAGAGATCCAAAATACTTCTCAACAGCTTCTACCCCCAAGCCATAAGACTCCTGAACAGCTAATCATGGCTACCCGGACTATTTGCACTGCCCCCCCACCCCATCCTTTTTACGCTGCTGCTACTCTTAATTATTTATGCATAGACACTTTAACTCTACCCACATGTACATATTACTTCAACTACCTCAACTAGCCGGTGCCCCCGCACATTGACTCTGCACCGGTACCCTCCTGTATATATAGCCTCCCTACTGTTATTTTATTTTACTTCTGCTCTTTTTTTCTCAACACTTTTTTGTTGTTGTTTTATTTTACTTTTTTCTAAAAAAAAATTAATGTATTGTTGGTTAAGGGCTGTAAGTAAGCATTTCACGGTAATCTCTACACCTGTTGTATTCGGCGCATGTGGCAAATAAAATTTGATTTGATTTGATCCAGTCTCACTGATAAGGAGTGATGACGTCAACAATAGTCTGTCTCACTCTCAGTCGTCACTCTCGGTTTGCCTGAGCGGAATGCAACAAGGTTGCTAAGGTCCTGGTTGTGTATGTCATGCATTCCACCTAGGAACAATGAGAGGGTTCTAATGAGTCACTGAGGAGCCCAATGAGAGGGTTCTAATGAGACACTGAGGAGCCCAATGAGAGGGTTCTAATGAGACACTGAGGAGCCCAATGAGAGGGTTCTAATGAGACACTGAGGAGCCCAATGAGAGGGTTCTAATGAGACACTGAGGAGCCCAATGAGAGGGTTCTAATGAGACACTGAGGAGCCCAATGAGAGGGTTCTAATGAGACACTGAGGAGCCCAATGAGAGGGTTCTAATGAGACACTGAGGAGCCCAATGAGAGGGTTCTAATGAGACACTGAGGAGCCCATGAGAGGGTTCTAATGAGTCACTGAGGAGCCCAATGAGAGGGTTCTAATGAGACACTGAGGAGCCCATGAGAGGGTTCTAATGAGACACTGACTGTAACGACAGCATGTATCACTCTGGACCCCTAGCCCCTACACCCTTCCCCCTGGGCACTCCTAGACCTGAAATATGGTCATTCTGATTCCAATTCTGGTGTATCTTTCCTCTATATTACTAGGTCATTGTGTTGAGGTTGTACGTTCACCAGCAAGAAAAGCAAAAATTGTCACTCAAATAGAAAGGGGAACTAACAAAGAGTCACTGACCAACAACCGAAACAGGTGGGGTTTTAGGAGGGGTTCTGGAAAGACACTCATGGGGGGTCCACTGGAAGTTGACTAGCAACAACAACTGGGACCTAAAAGACCCCACCATGAGCGCCCACTACATTTGCCCAAGAACAGGCAAACAAAATTAAAAAACCCCAGACCAAACTGAAAGACAGGAAGCAAAACAAAAAGTGGAGCAAAACAAAAACAGGAAAGAACAGATACAGGATTGTTTGACTAGAACTCAACCAGGGTGCGCCAACTAACGGCGTTAACCCTCCACATCTCTCAAGACCAGTAGGGCATTGGGCCAGCCGCTCTTAAATAGCACCTGGCCCAGCACAGTTGAAACACCTTCCCACTAACGAGAGGACCAACCAGCAAGGTGTAATACAGACTGACTAACGAGGTGACACCAATCAGAATATAAATGGAAAAACCAAAGCCTGTAACAAGGTTGCAAGAATCCCTTTGAGGAGGAAGAGATGCCATTCCCTCCTGAGCAGGTTTAATAGGTTCTAACTCAATTTTTGGTTGTGACCGTCTTTTTTTTCAAAGGCGGGGGTTACAGGTACAAAAACAATCAAATAAATGCATACAAAAGATAACCCCAACCCATTGCTGCCTCAGTCCCCATCCATCCACCCTCATCCTCCCCCGGAAACCATGTTCCCCTGTTTCCCATTTCGCCTAGCCCCCCTAGATAGTCCTCCTATGTCATTCCCTCTTCGTAAATGTGTTCATTTTATCCAGGATCGTTTACCTTGCTATATCAATTTTGAAACTGCACTATGAATTTTATCACAATAACCAGAAGGGGGTGCTATGCCTGTGGGAGAGAGTGGGCACAGAACTCATCACAGTGCCTAAAGTGCTCGGCAGAGGGTCCACCAGAAACCCAGCGGGCGGTCAGTCTGGGGGAAGCCCTGGCTGTGATGAAGGATCTCCTACCTTGACATTTTTCAGAACCATTTTTTCCAGTGTTTAAGTTTCTTAAAGTTAATGTTTCTGAAGGTTAAGCACAAAATAGTCTACAGTTTTTTTCACTGAGTTTAGAAACAAAATGACATACGTCGTTCAGTTGTGGCTTGTTAGCTCTGACAAAGACTGAGTTTTGGTGGGTGGCCCTCTCTTGGAAGGTTTGTTGTGGTGCCATATTCTTTCCATTTTTTAATAATGGATTTAATGGTGCTCCGTGGGATGTTCAAAGTTTTTGATATTTTTTTATAACCCAACCCTGATCTGTACTTCTCCACAACTTTGTCCCTGACCTGTTTGGAGAGCTCCTTGGTCTTCATGGTGCCGCTTGCTTGGTGGTGCCCCTTGCTTAGTGGTGTTGCAGACTCTGGGGCCTTTCAGAACAGGTGTAAATATACTGAGATCATGTGACAGATCATGTGACACTTAGATTGCACACAGGTGGACTTTATTTATCTAATTATGTGACTTCTGAAGGTAATTGGTTGCACCAGATCTTATTTAGGGGCTTCATAGCAAAGGGGGTGAATACATATGCATGCACCACTTTTCTGTTATTTATTATTTTTTCATTTCACTTCACCAATTTGGACTATTTTGTGTGTGTCCATTACATGAAATCCATATAAAAATCAATTTAAATTACAGGTTGTAATGCAACAAAATAGGAAAAAGGCCAAGGGGGATGAATACTTTTGCAAGGCACTGTAGCACAGGGTAATACTGAACGTATTATTAAGAAACACTATCTTACCTCTGAAGTTGCTACAGATTTAATTGAGTGTATGAACAATACTCCATCACCCTATTCTGCCTTCCTCTTGTGATGATGTAGTTGATAACTTTAATAGCAAATGAAGTGCAACCATTGATGCCATAGCTCCAGTAAAGCTGAAAAGGGCCACATCCAAACGGAGAGCCCCTTGGATGGGCCACATCCAAACGAAAAGCCCCTTGGATGGGCCACATCCAAACGGAAAGCCCCTTGGATGAGTGAGGAAACTAATCAATTAAAGAGACATTGCAGAAAGGCAGAGCGGAAGTGGAGAAAGTCAAAGTTGTAGGTACATTATGATATTCTGAGAGAGATCCTTGGCATATATAACAAGGCAGTTAGAAATGCCAGACAGGATCATTTTTTAAACTTGATCACTAATAATCAGTGCTCTTCTCGACCATTGATGGCCTGATAAATCCTACCCCCGCAAACCTATGTGAACTTTCCTCCACATCTAAATGTGATGAGTTTGAGGCATATTTCAGAGATAAGATAACCAACATTAGGCTGGGTATCAGTCAAGCAAGGCCTGGTGAGAAGTTTGATGATATGTGCCCTAGCCTACCACGCAAAGGCACGATGGATTTATTTTCCCTGGTTGACACAGACATGCTCAAGAAAGTGACATCACAACTTAAGCCTTCTACCTGCTTTCTCTCGATCCTATCCCCACCACCTTCCCGATCCTATCCCCACTACCTTCTTCAAAACAGTTTTTAATTGCATATCTGAAGAAGTGCAAGCTATTGTTAATCACTCCCTGTTCACAGGCACTTTCCCCACTGCACTAAGAACTGCTGTGGTGAAACCCCTTCTGAAGAAAAGTCATCTAGATTCTTCAGCTCTTAACCCAATCTCCAACCTTCCACTTCTAAGCAAAATTCAAACAGCTGTACCAACTGTATATAAAAAATAAAAAATCCAATCTGGTTCTCGTGCCGACCACAGAACAGAGACAGCCTTAGTTAAAGTGGTAAACACAGATGCCAAACAGCTCTCTGTCCTTGTGCTCTTGGAGAGGTGGGTTGGCCTCTGTTGACCATGATGTCCTTCTGGACAGACTGGAGAGGTGGGTTGGCCTCTGTTGACCATGATGTCCTTCTGGACAGACTGGAGAGGTGGGTTTGACCTCTGTTGACCATGATGTCCTTCTGGACAGACTGGAGAGGTGGGTTGACCTCTGTTGACCATGATGTCCTTCTGGACAGACTGGAGAGGTGGTTGGCCTCTGTTGACCATGATGTCCTTCTGGACAGACTGGAGAGATGGTTGACCTCTGTTGACCATGATGTCCTTCTGGACAGACTGGAGAGGTGGTTGACCATGATGTCCTTCTGGACAGACTGGAGAGGTGGGCTGGCCTCTCTGGTCCAGTTCTAAATTGGTTTAGGACCTATTTAACCGGTCAAGAGTTTTTCTGTCACCCTTTTGTCATCCTTGGTGAACATAACTCCTAAGAGAAAAGAGAAAATAGACATCACATGTGGCATTCCACAAGGTTCCATTTTGGGTCCGGTATTGTTCAGTTTATATATGTTACCCCTTGGCAGCGTTATCAGAAAGCACAACATTGATTTTCACTGCTACGCAGACGATACACAACTTTACATTTCTGTGTCACCAGAGGATTTTAGCTCCACAGATAAATTATTAGACTGTACGTGATTTAAATACTTGGATGGCTCACAACTTCCTCCAGCTAAATCAAGACAAGACTGAGGTACATATTATTGGAGCCAAAGTACAGAGAGAGAATCTGGCCACGCATTGTAATTCACGGGCAATAAAGATAAAACACCAGGTAAAAAACCCAGGTGACCAAAATAGGAATGTGACCAAAATAGTTTTTTTACCACCTGAGGAACATTGCCAAGGTGTGGACGTTTCTATCTCAGGCTAATACAGAGAGTGCTTTTATTACAAACAGGCTTGACTAATGTAATGCTCTCCTGTCTGGTCTACCCAAGAAAGCCATTGGTCAACTGCAAAACATACAGAATGCTGCAGCACGGGTACTGACCAAGACCAGACGGAGAGCACACATTACACCGGTTTTAAAGTCTCTGCACTGGCTGCCTGTGAGTTTTAGAATTCATTTTAAGATTATTCTATTGGTTTTAGGGTTGTCCCCGACTAAAAAAAATCTTAGTTGACCGAAAGTCTTCTGTTCTTTCGACCAATCGATTGCTTAAAATGTTTAAACGTGTATTTTGCCATATATAGACACACCCAATGTGTTTTAATAAAATCAACTGAACTTGTCTGACACTTTAAGCTTATGGTTTGATGCCTCAAGAGGGAGCCAGAGATCTAGATAACCAGCAGAAAAAAAAACATAACCTGACCCAACTATTCTCCTCCCCGCTCCTTCTGGCTTTTGCAGATTCTGCCGTTACTCTCCTGAAGTTGCCGGTAGTAGGCTACGCGAGGAGTCGAAAACCTTTCTCATGTGGAATGCCAATTTATCTTACCATTTCTACCGACCTGCGTGCCAGTGATGGTTTTCATATGCACATGTTCGTGAAAGAGTTTCATTTAATTTATAATGAAGTCTTCATATCTCAAAATCATTGTCATGTGGTTAATCAAAATTCTATCCAAATCTAAATGAAAAATTATACAAACCTAAAAATGTACTTCTATTGCCATTGCCAACTATGTAAAAACAGCCTCCATAAAGCCAACAAATAAAAACATTGCAGCCTGCAGGTAGAAAATATCCTGATTAAAATAAATATTATATAAATCACATTGGCATCACATGGCCTGTCTGCAAGGAACTTGAAACATTGTATCCACTATTAACTTGGGTCTGGAAGCTTGAGCTAGCGAATTTGCAACATTGTATAAAATATTCTGGGCCCTTAAGAGTTTCCCACGCCAGTGAGCTCGGGACAGACACAGCTGTTGGCTATTTAAGGGATAAGAAGCAGTGTTTAACTTGGGCTGGAGCTCACCGGAGCTGAGTACCGGCACCTCAGAGTTCTACTGCTTGAGCTCCTGTTCCTCTTATAGAATATTAGCTCAAAAGTATTGTGGAGCTCCTGCACCTAAATGTAAACAGTTTCAGCCCCCAAAATGAGTACTGGCACCTATTTCAGTCCAAGTCAAGCCCTGATAAGAAGAATATAATGTCAATGCAGAGCTATACATAGCCCTCCGCATTGTTACAACATTTGGGAGGCCCATGGCTATGCGGTACAGAGCTCGGTTTGGCCTCTGTATGCCTCTGGAGGCTTAGAAATTGCGTCATGCCCTCGATATGGAGCCTCCAACCCCATTTTCAAATCAAGCATAAATTGGCTTTTAGTCTAGGCCTCCACAATGGATTAGTTCACTGAGATGGGCGCAAATATATATATATATATACAGTGAGGGAAAAAAGTATTTGATCCCCTGCTGATTTTGTACGTTTGCCCACTGACAAAGACATGATCAGTCTATAATTTTAATGGTAGGTTTATTTGAACAGTGAGAGACAGAATAACAGCAAAAAAAATCCAGAAAAACGCATGTCAAAAATGTTATAAATTGATTTGCATTTTAATGAGGGAAATAAGTATTTGACCCCCTCTCAATCAGAAAGATTTCTGGCTCCCAGGGTCTTTTATACAGGTAACGAGCTGAGATTAGGAGCACACTCTTAAAGGGAGTGCTCCTAATCTCAGTTTGTTACCTGTATAAAAGACACCTGTCCAGGGTAATTTTCTCGCAAAGTAATGAATTCACACTACAGAATATTAGGCTGATATACAGCCAATACAGTAGGTGGCGGCGTGCAGCTATAACCGGACCGCCATAATACCAAAGAAGAAGACGTAGAAAGGGAAGGGGACAGCTAGTCTGAAGACGTTCAACTGAGATGTGTCTTCCACATTTAACACTCATTAGACTGTTTGAGTGTGACAGGAAAATAACAAAATACTAATGTTTAATGATGGGAAACCGAGGCTTTCTGAAGGCTTCGGCTCTTTCACCAAATTGTGCCTGGAAAAATGGTTCATTACTCGGAGCATCATTATCTGTTCACAATGCACATTAGTGACATCTGCTGGTCAGCAATAAATAGCAGCGTGTGATTTTTTAAAATTTAATTTAAAAAAAACATATATATATATATATTTCACCTTTATTTAACCAGGTAAGCCAGTTGAGAACAAGTTCTCATTTACAACTGCGACCTGGCCAAGATAAAGCAAAGCAGTGCGATAAAAACAACAACACAGAGTTACATATGGGGTAAAAAAAAACATAAAGTCAAAAATACAACAGAAAATATATATACAGTGTGTGCGAATGTAGCAAGTTATGGAGGTAAGGCAATAAATAGGCCATAGTGCTAAATAATTACAATTAGTATTAACACTGGAATGAGATGATGTGCAAATAGAGATACTGGGGTGCAAATGAGCAAAATAAATAACAATATAGGGATGATGTAGTTGGGTGGGCTAATTTCAGATGGGCTGTGTACAGGTGCAGTGATCGGTAAGGTGCTCTGACAACTGATGCTTAAAGTTAGTTAGGGAGAGTGTGTGCAGACGGACAGAGTATGCTGGAGAACGGTGCGTAGAAGGACAATGGGTGTTGCAATTGTGGTGGGGATCATGATCCCGAGGTCCTGGAGTGCCCTGTAAGGGTGAAGGAGATTGACATGGCAAAAGTTAGAGCGGTCAATTGAATCTCCTACGTGGAGGCGATTAAAAGAGTGGAGAAAACAAGTGATGCTAGTGAAGAGATGGTAGTGGACGCACCACAGCCTGTAGTAAATGTTTGCCGCCAGTCAAAAGATACCCTGTGTGGTAAAAAGGTGGATTTTGTGGCGTTCATTGCCACAGTTAGAAACCGTAAAGCTCAAGTCTCTACCAAAAACTACTAAACTACACCCCCCCCCCCCCCCCCCACTCTTTAACCCGTCTCCTCCCCTTCATCTACACAGATTGAAGTGGATTTAACAAGTGACATCAATAAGGGATCATAGCTTTCACCTGGTCAGTCTATGTCATGGAAAGAGCAGGTGTTCTTAATGTTTAGTTCACTCAGTGTATGTATAATCTAGATCAGTCTATAGTCTATAATCTAGATCAGTCTATAGTCTAGATCAGTCTATAGTCTAGATCAGTCTATAATCTATATCAGTCTATAGTCTAGATCAGTCTATAATCTAGATCAGTCTATAATCTAGATCAGTCTATAATCTATATCAGTCTATAGTCTAGATCAGTCTATAATCTAGATCAGTCTATAGTCTAGATCAGTCTATAATCTAGATCAGTCTATGGTCTAGATCAGTCTATAATCTATATCAGTCTATAATCTAGATCAGTCTATAATCTAGATCAGTCTATAGTCTAGATCAGTCTATAATCTAGATCAGTCTATAGTCTAGATCAGTCTATAATCTAGATCAGTCTATAGTCTAGATCAGTCTATAATCTATATCAGTCTATAGTCTAGATCAGTCTATAATCTAGATCAGTCTATAATCTAGATCAGTCTATAGTCTAGATCAGTCTATAATCTATATCAGTCTATAGTCTAGATCAGTCTATAATCTAGATCAGTCTATAATCTATATCAGTCTATAGTCTAGATCAGTCTATAATCTAGATCAGTCTATAGTCTAGATCAGTCTATAATCTATATCAGTCTATAGTCTAGATCAGTCTATAATCTAGATCAGTCTATAATCTAGATCAGTCTATAATCTATATCAGTCTATAGTCTAGATCAGTCTATAATCTAGATCAGTCTATAGTCTAGATCAGTCTATAATCTAGATCAGTCTATGGTCTAGATCAGTCTATAATCTATATCAGTCTATAATCTATATCAGTCTATAATCTAGATCAGTCTATAGTCTAGATCAGTCTATAATCTAGATCAGTCTATAGTCTAGATCAGTCTATAATCTATATCAGTCTATAGTCTAGATCAGTCTATAATCTAGATCAGTCTATAATCTAGATCAGTCTATAATCTATATCAGTCTATAGTCTAGATCAGTCTATAATCTAGATCAGTCTATAGTCTAGATCAGTCTATAATCTAGATCAGTCTATAATCTAGATCAGTCTATAGTCTAGATCAGTCTATAGTCTAGATCAGTCTATAGTCTAGATCAGTCTATAATCTAGATCAGTCTATAATCTAGATCAGTCTATAATCTAGATCAGTCTATAATCTAGATCAGTCTATAGTCTAGATCAGTCTATAGTCTAGATCAGTCTATAGTCTAGATCAGTCTATAATCTAGATCTTCACAATAATTAATCAGGCCATGTCCTCCCTGGGAGATGTAAAGGGAGGGGGAAGCCCATATGGGACTGGCCATTGGCCGTCTATCCTAAACAGTTTAGCCAATAGGGATGCAATGCACTATAGCTACACAAGGAAGCAACCCGTCTGTATGATGCGAGAAATGGAGGTGGAAACGCCTTTATGGGAAAATATTGATATAATAACCATCATATGGAAGAAATAGCGATGACATGTTGTGTGGTCCTCCCACCAGGACTCAGGAACCCATGCAGTTTATTAGGCTACAGATTCAATCATTTATGATGAACTTCACAGGGCGGTGAAAGGGCACGGTGATGAGCTCGATGCTCCTTTCCAATAAATATCCAGGGTCTGATTCTGGTGACGTGATGATCGACGCTTGACTGCCGTTTGACAAATAAAAATATTCTCGCTCTTATCCATAATATAATGTCATCATGTAGACTAGCCAACCCACGCAGCATGACTATCTGCCAGCTGTTGGCTACAGCGCAGGTGCCAAAGACCAGAGGAGGCACGTTCGCTTTTCAACGCAACAGTTTTTGTGACAAAACTATCCGTAGAGTTGAAAATGCAAAACAGATTGAATAAAAAATGACTTTTTGTGTGCACTAGGGAAAGGGAATACCTAGTCAGTTGCACAACGGAATGCATTCAATCGAAATGTGTCTTCCGCATTTAAAACAACCCCTCTGAATCAGAGAGTTGCTGGGGGCAGGGAGCAGCTGTTGTTGGGGGTTAACTGTCTTGCCGACTCGGGGATTCAAACCAGCAACCTTTCAGTTACTGTCCCAATGCACTTAACTGCAAGGCTACCTGCCGATAGGGTTAAGGTTAGGGTTATGAGTTAGGTTAAAGGGTTAGGAGTTAGGTTAGGGTTAGCTAACATGCTAGTAGTTGCAAAGTTGCTAATTAGCTCAAATGCTAAAGTGTCCATGATGAGATTCAAACACACAACCTTTTGGTTGCTAGACATTCGTGTTATACACTTACTCATCCACCCTGACCATCCACCCTCCTTTAGGTTTTTCCTTATGTAACCTTCTGTCTTATGTAACTGTACAAAACCTAACATATCATACTAATTTGAGTGTCCCGGATTTACGTTTCCTCTGTTACATCTAGTTTATGAGACCAGGCTGGGACCATAGACGTTATAATAACAACAAAGTCCAATAACATAATACAATAAATAGTCATTTAGCAGACGCTCTTATCCAGAGCAATTAGGGTTAAGTGCCTTGCTCAAGGGCACATCGACAGATTTTTCAGCTAGTCGGCTCGGGGATTAGAACCAGCGACTTTTCGGTTACTGGCACAACGCTCTTAACCACTAAGCTACCTGCCGCCCCAGGTAATAATAATGATAATATTGTTCCTTTTACCAATTGAGGGGGTGCTTCATCATTGTCTTATGCTGAGGGAAGCATCATAGCTTTAGGCTAGGCTGTGTGATGTCGTTGATACATACCAGATATAAGCCAGTCGTATTGGGTTATCTAGATCGTCGGCTCGTCCCCTTGTTATGTTTTTGATAACATACAATATAGACCGTCGTATTGGGTTAGTCTAGACGTCGCTCGTCCCTGTGTGATTTTGTGGCAACATTACCAAAATAGAGCATCGTAGGGTTATCAGATCTGGCTCGTCCCTTGGTGAGTTGTGTGGATAACATCCAGAATTAGCCAGTCGGTTGGGGTTAGTCTAACTGTCGGCTGTCCCTTGTTGTGTTTGTGGATAACTACCAATTAGAGCCATCGTATGGGTATCTAATCTTCGGCCGTCCCCTGTGTGATGTTGTGATAATAAGAATATAGACCTTCGTACTTGGGGGTTAGTCTAGATCGTCGGCTCTCCCTTTGTGAGTGTGAACTACCAATATTGCCAGCGTATTGGTAGTAGTGTGATGTTGTGTGGATAACATACCAGAATATAGAGCCAGTCGTATTGGGGTTAGTCTAGATCTGTCGGCTCGTCCCCTTGTGTGATGTTGTGTGGATAACATACCAGAATATAGAGCCAGTCATATTGGGGTTAGTCTAGATCTGTCGGCTCGTCCCCTTGTGTGATGTTGTGTGGATAACATACCAGAATATAGAGCCAGTCATATTGGGGTTAGTCTAGATCTGTCGGCTCGTCCCCTTGTGTGATGTTGTGTGGATAACATATACATTTACATTATAGTCGACGCTCTTATCCAGAGCGACTTACAGGAGCAATTAGGGTTAAGTGCCTTGCTTAAGGGCACATCGACAGATTTTTCACCTAGTCGGCTCGGGGATTAGAACCAGCGACCTTTCGGTTATTGGCACAACGCTCTTACCCACTAAGCTACCTGCCGTCCTAACATACCAGAATATTGAGCCAGTCGTATTGGGGTTAGTCTAGATCTGTCGGCTCGTCCCCTTGTGTGTTGGGCTTGATGTGCTTCTCGAAGAAGTTAGAGCCTCCTTGGCCTCCTTGGCAGTGGAAAACGTGTGTGTTGTATTCTGGAAGGTCAAGATTATCCCAAAATGCAGGGGCGCAACTTTCACTGGGGACGGGGGGGGGGGGGACGGGGGGGACATGTCCCCCTCACATTCTGAAATTGCATTTTTGTTCCCCCCCCCAGTTTTATAATTGAAATGTGATACAAAACGAGGCAACGGTGTGCTTTAAGACCATGCGGACGACTCCGAGCGGTCGGGTAGGCTGTTTGGAGTGTTTATCCGACTGATTAAAAATAATAATAATAATAATAATAATGAATGTCCCCCCCACTTCTAAAACCAAAGTTGCGCCCCTGCCAAGATGTTACAGAGCCTAACATTCCCATCAGGCTCCTAAAGGTCCCGGTACCTTATACTGTCTTATTATTATAGTAGGGCTGACCCCATTAGGTCGACTGGTCGATTGTTTGGTCGATAGGTCGATAGGTCGATAGGTTGATAGGTCGATAGGTTGTTGGACGACCGAGATTTCTTTAATCGAGCGGTAGCAAAAATAAAATATATCATGGTGTACAAGACGCCTGTCTGATTGGCTCCTGTCTGATTGGCTCCTGTCTGAGTGGCGTCTGTCTGATTGGCTCCTGTCTGATTGGCGTCTGTCTGATTGGCTCCTGTCTGAGTGGCTCCTGTCTGAGTGGCTCCTGTCTGATTGGCTCCTGTCTGATTGGCGTCTGTCTGATTGGCTCCTGTCTGAGTGGCTCCTGTCTGATTGGCTCCTGTCTGATTGGCTCCTGTCTGAGTGGACTGATCCATTATGGAGGCCTGTCTGAGTGGACTGATCCATTGTGGTGGCCGTGGGGATGGCACAGACCATCAGTCTAAGACATGTGCTCCTGAAATTGTATATGGTTATATTACATAAACAATGGTGCAACACTAATAAAAATAATATTATTTTATAACAAATGCACTTTCTTCCTCTTTTGATAGCGGTCGCTGTCCACTGTTCTGAAACACATCAGTGTGCAGTTGAATTGGCGCCTTTTCCTAGACCATGTTGCTATGTGCATAACAGCCAAGTTAACCAGCATATTAGTGTTGAGAACAATGTGGCGGAGGTAGCAGCAGAATGAGGAGATGAGAAAACAGCCCTCGCCTTATTATCGAAGTGAGGAGAGAGGAAACAGCCCTCGCCTTATTATCGAAGTGAGGAGAGAGGAAACAGCCCTCGCCTTATTATCTAAGTGAGGAGAGAGGAAACAGCCCTCGCCTTATTATCTAAGGGAGGAGAGAGGAAACAGCCCTCGCCTTATTATCGAAGTGAGGAGAGAGGAAACAGCCCTAGCCTTATTATCTAAGGGAGGAGAGAGGAAACAGCCCTCGCCTTATTATCTAAGTGAGGAGAGAGGAAACAGCCCTAGCCTTATTATCTAAGGGAGGAGAGAGGAAACAGCCCTCGCCTTATTATCTAAGTGAGGAGAGAGGAAACAGCCCTCGCCTTATTATCTAAGGGAGGAGAGAGGAAACAGCCCTCGCCTTATTATCTAAGTGAGGAGAGAGGAAACAGCCCTAGCCTTATTATCTAAGGGAGGAGAGAGGAAACAGCCCTAGCCTTATTATCTAAGGGAGGAGAGAGGAAACAGCCCTCGCCTTATCGTCTAAATGAGGAGAGAGGAAACAGCCCTCGCCTTATTATCTAAGGGAGGAGAGAGGAAACAGCCCTCGCCTTATTATCTAAGTGAGGAGAGAGGAAACAGCCCTAGCCTTATTATCTAAGGGAGGAGAGAGGAAACAGCCCTCGCCTTATTATCGAAGTGAGGAGAGAGGAAACAGCCCTCGCCTTATTATCGAAGGGAGGAGATGAGGAAACAGCCCTCGCCTTATTATCGAAGGGAGGAGATGAGAAAACAGCCCTCGCCTTATTATCGAAGGGAGGAGATGAGAAAACAGCCCTCGCCTTATTATCGAAGGGAGGAGATGAGGAAACAGCCCTCGCCTTATTATCTAAGTGAGGAGAGAGGAAACAGCCCTCGCCTTATTATCTAAGTGAGGAGAGAGGAAACAGCCCTCGCCTTATTATCTAAGTGAGGAGAGAGGAAACAGCCCTCGCCTTATTATCTAAGTGAGGAGAGAGGAAACAGCCCTCGCCTTATTATCGAAGGGAGGAGATGAGAAAACAGCCCTCACCTTATTATCTAAGTGAGGAGAGAGGAAACAGCCCTCGCCTTATTATCGAAGGGAGGAGATGAGAAAACAGCCCTCGCCTTATTATCTAAGTGAGGAGAGAGGAAACAGCCCTCGCCTTATTATCTAAGTGAGGAGAGAGGAAACAGCCCTCGCCTTATTATCGAAGTGAGGAGAGAGGAAACAGCCCTCGCCTTATCGTCTAAATGAGGAGAGAGGAAACAGCCCTCGCCTTATTATCTAAGGGAGGAGAGAGGAAACAGCCCTCGCCTTATTATCGAAGTGAGGAGAGAGGAAACAGCCCTAGCCTTATTATCTAAGTGAGGAGAGAGGAAACAGCCCTAGCCTTATTATCTAAGGGAGGAGAGAGGAAACAGCCCTCGCCTTATTATCGAAGTGAGGAGAGAGGAAACAGCCCTCGCCTTATTATCGAAGTGAGGAGAGAGGAAACAGCCCTCGCCTTATTATCGAAGTGAGGAGAGAGGAAACCCCAACTTAATTAGGTCTGTAATCAATAGCTTAACTGTTAAATGGGCCTGGCTTTAGAAATCATCAATATATCTACAGAAAATAAGACAGATATTGCTTCTGTTGTCTGTTTGAGTGTTTATTTATAATAATAATAATATGCCATTTAGCAGACGCTTTTATCCAAAACGACTTACAGTCATGCGTGCATAAAACATTTTTTTTTTGTGTATGGGTGGTCCCGGGGATCGAACCCACTACCTTGGCGTTACAAGCGCCGTGCTCTACCAGCTGAGCTACAGAGGACCACATATTTAATAGTCTACTGATTCCTTGAGCACCAAGCATCACACAACGACTTGTTAAGTAACAATTTCACAAATTCGTCTGTTTTTCATCTTTGCTCTGCTGTAATAAAGGCTTTACACTTTTTTTTTTTCGTTAGAACTCTCTGGTATTATTTATAATTTATTCCAAATTATCCGAAAAATGATATTTATAATAATTATAAAAATAACACTCCTTTTTCTTGATCTCCTTCTTATTGTCGTTATTACTGTTATTATGATCATTATAATAAGTCATGTCATTATTTCGATATTTATATCGGCTCCTCTATCAATCAATCATTCATTCGTCCAGGTCATCACACAGCATATGAGTCATTCATGATTTGAAATGCAATCAAGCATTTTCGTTTTTTAAAATAAAATAAAAAAAGTGAGCCTTTAATAATTAGCTTAAACAATAAACAGTTCCATTTCGGGAAATTGCATTCACGAATGAATGCGACTGTTTTTAGTCTTTGCTGTTCTAAAGGCTTAACAGACTCTCTGGTCCGCTTATACTTCATTTAGTGTTGTTTACGTTGTTCCAAACGGTTTAAAAAAATTGATATTGTAATCTATACATCACCTGTTTGGCACACAACGTTTTCTGACGGCTGGAGATAACATGTATGACAATGTAATGAGACGGACACTTTTTTTCTGCAGGTTTCTCCGATCAAATAGCCTAAACTAAATGGCGCTCAATCAAATAAGAAATGAGCTGTCATGTTAACAAACAACATATCCTAAAAACAGAGGACAGGTCCAAATAAAATGGACAATATGGAATGGACAATCACAACTGTTGTCCGGGAGTTTCAAGTGGTTTCAAGTTTGTACCGGTGACAAGCTTATCATTGCGAAAAAAGAAAAAACTTCTGCATTTCCCGCTGTGTAAACACTAGGCCTAGACGACATGATCTGTGTCAGTGTGTCTTTCTCTGTTTTCTTCCTTCCTCGACTGCACCACAGCAGCTGATCTGACACAGCACTCGGCCCTGCAGAACCAGATCTTTTAGCAAATAAATCGGTTAATTTAGCAGCATCCGCATCAACAGCCCTTTTTCTCAGCCTTTTTTTTACCTTTCTGGGGTTTTCTGTTCTGACTGAGTGACTGACAGAGTCAGGGCGGGTTTTATGCCACCTTCACAACAACCGGGAACTGGGAACTCGGAAATCTCCAACTTCAATGCATTCAAAATAACTGGGAACTGGGAACTCGGAAATCTCCAACTTCAATGCATTCAAAATAACTGGGAACTGGGAACTCGGAAATCTCCAACTTCAATGCATTCAAAACAACCGGGAACTGGGAACTCGGAAATCTCCAACTTCAATGCATTCAAAATAACTGGGAACTGGGAACTCGGAAATCTCCAACTTCAATGCATTCAAAATAACTGGGAACTGGGAACTCGGAAATCTCCAACTTCAATGCATTCAAAATAACCGGGAACTGGGAACTCGGAAATCTCCAACTTCAATGCATTCAAAACAACCGGGAACTGGGAACTCGGAAATCTCCAACTTCAATGCATTCAAAATAACTGGGAACTGGGAACTCGGAAATCTCCAACGTCAATGCATTCAAAATAACTGGGAACTGGGAACTCGGAAATCTCCAACTTCAATGCATTCAAAATAACTGGGAACTCAGAAAAAAACTAGCTTGACTGGGAAAAATAATTTTCAACGGTCATCCAAGTTGGAAACTCTGGCATCTTTCTAGAGCTCCGACTTTTCGACCTGAAGATCACTGACATTATGATTTGACCTTGTTTTTTTCGAGTTCCCAGTTGTCTTAAAAGCACCGTCATTCCCTCTGATGATGCACGTGGTTTGACTTTGAATGTGAATTTACGCCACCTCAGCTCAGCCAATCAGAATACGAGGTCGGCCCACACCTCAGCTCAGCCAATCAGAAAACCGTGCTGGCCCATCTTCGTAGGTCAGCCAAATGCTCAATACAGATTATTATGACAACAGAAAAATTGTGCAAAAGTCATCAATAAAACAGGCCCATGTCATGATTATTATTGAATATATATATACACAATATTAAGCTGCCCATGGTGGCCAGTTTATTAGGTACACCACCACGCTCCTACAGGCAGTGTGGCTGTGGCTTGCTATATAAAGCAGGCAGACAGTCATCCAGTTACTGTTTGATTGAACGTTAGAATTGGAAACAATTGTGACCTAAGTGACTTTGAGCGTGGTATGATCATCGGTGCCAGGCGCGCCGGTTCCAGTATCTCAGAAACAGCCGGCCTTCTGGGATTTTCACGCCACCACGTTCACAACAATGGTTCACTCCTACAGACAGTGTCTAGGGTTTACAGAGAACAAAAAACATCCAGTCAGCAGCAGTCCTGTGGGTGAAAACAGCTCGTTGGTGAGGGGTCAAAGGAGAATGGCGCAAGCTAACAGGCGGGCCACAAACAGGCAAATAACGGCGCAGTACAACCGTGGTTTGCAGAACGGCCATCTCGGAACACACAAGTCGTCGGTCCTTGTCATGGATGGGCTATTGCAGCAGACGACCACACCGGGTTCCACTCCTATCAGCTCAAAACAAGAAGAAGTGGCTCCAGTGGGCACGCCATCACCAACACTGGACAACTGAGGAGTGATAATGGCGCCGGAGGGGATGGCCGCCGTTTTATGGACTCTTAACCAACCGTGCTATTTTGTGTGTTTTTTCATATTGTTTTTAACTTATTTTGTACATTTGTTGCTGCTACCGTCTCTTATGACCGAAAAGAGCTTCTGGACATCAGAACAGCGATTACTCACCTTGAACTGGACAAATAATTTTTCTTTAATGAGTCGGACGAGAGGGATTTGCTCCCCGACAGGTAGAGTATATCATGTAGACCACACTATCTACCAAGAGAGTTTTCATCTATATTTTTCATAGCTGTCTATTTACCACCACAAACCAATACTGGCATTAAGATTGCACTCAATGAACTGTATACGGCCATAAGCAAACAGGAAAACACTCTTCCAGAGGCGGCGCTCCTAGTGGTCGGGGACTTTAATGCAGGGAAACTTAAATAAGTTTTACCTAATTTCTACCAGCATGTTAAATGTGCAACCAGAGGGAAAAAAACTCTAGACCACCTTTACTCCACACACAGAGACGCGTACAAAGAAAGCGAAGCACAGCCGCGAGCTTCCCAGTGACACAAGACTTCCAGACGAGCTAAACCACTTCTATGCTCGCTTCGAGGCAAGCAACACTGAAGCATGCATGAGAGCACCAGCTGTTCCGGATGACTATGTGATCGCGCTCTCCGTAGCCGATGTGAGTAAGACTTTTAAACAGGTCAACATTCACAAGGCCGCAGGGCCAGACGAATTACCAGGACGTGTACTCCGAGCATGCGCTGACCAACTGGCAAATGTCTTCACTGACATCTTCAACCTCTCCCTGTCTGAGTCTGTAATACCAACATGTTTCAAGCAGACCACCATAGTCCCTGTGCCCAGGAACACTAAGGTAACCTGCCTAAATGACTACCGACCCGTAGCACTGACGTCTGTAGCCATGAAGTGCTTTGAAAGGCTGGTCATGGCTCACATCAACACCATTATCCCAGAAACCCTAGACCCACTCCAATTTGCATACCGCCCCAACAGATCCACAGATGATGCAATCTCTATTGCGCTCCACACTGCCCTTTCCCACCTGGACAAGAGGAACTCCTATGTGAGAATGCTATTCATTGACTACAGCTCAGAGTTCAACACCAGTGCCCTCAAAGCTCATCACTAAGCTAAGGACCCTGGGACTAAACACCTCCCTCTGCAACTGGATCCTGGACTTCCTGACGGGCCGCCCCCAGGTGGTAAGGGTAGGTAACAACACATCCGCCACACTGATCCTCAACACGGGGGCCCCTCAGGGGTGCGTGCTCTGTCCCCTCCTGTACTCATGACTGCATGGCCAGGCACGACTCCAACACCATCATTAAGTTTGCTGACGACACAACAGTGGTAGGCCTGATCACCGACAACGATGAGACAGCCTATAGGGTGGAGGTCAGAGACCTGGCAGTGTGGTGCCAGGACAACAACCTCTCCCTCAACGTGATCAAGACAAAGGAGATGATTGTGGACTACAGGAAAAAGAAGAGGACCGAGCACGCCCCCATTCTCGACGGGGCTGTAGTGGAGCAGGTTGAGAGCTTCAAGTTCCTTGGTGTCCACATCACCAACAAGCTGAAGAGGGCACGACAAAGCCTATTCTCCCTAAGGAGACTGAAAATATTTGGTATGGTTCCTCAGATCCTCAAAAGGTTCTACAGCTGCACCATCGAGAGCATCCTGACTGGTTGCATAACTGCCTGGTATGACAACTGCTCGGCCTCCGACCACAAGGCACTACAGAGGGTAGTGCGTACGGCCCAGTACATCACTGGGGCCAAGCTTCCTGCCATCCAGGACCTCTATACCAGGCGGTGTCAGAGGAAGGCCCTAAAAATTGTCAAAGACTCCAGCCACCATAGTCATAGACTGTTCTCTCTGCTACCGCACGGCAAGCGGTACCGGAGCACCAAGTCTAGGTCCAAGATGCTTCTAAACAGCTTCTACCCCCAAGCCATAAGACTCCTGAACATCTAATCAAATGGCTACCCAGACTATTTGCATTGCCCCTCCCCCCCCTTTTACGCTGCTGATTCTCTGTTTATTATCTATGCAGTCACTTTAATAACTCTACCTACATGGACATAACCTCGACTAACCGGTTCCCCAGCACATTGACTCGGTACCGGTACCTCCTGTATATAGCCTCGCTATTGTTATTTTTACTGCTGCTCTTTAATTATTAGTAACTTTTATTTCTTATTATTTTTATATTGTATTTTTGTGTGATTTTTTTTGCATTATTTCTTAAAACTGCATTGTTGGTTAAGGGCTTGTAAGTAAGCATTTCACTGTAAGGTCTACACCTGTTGTATTCGGCGCATGTGACAAATCAAATTTGATTTGAAAAACATGTCCAGGTCCAACGAATCCCGGTTCCTGTTGTGTCATCTTGATGACAGTCAGGATTTAGCGTCAGCAGCATGAGTCCATGGACCCATCCTGCCTGGTGTCAACGGTACAGGCTGGTGGCGGTGGTGTAATGGTGTGGGGAATGGCCCCATCCTGCCTGGTGTCACCAGTACAGGCTGGTGGTGTAATGGTGTGGGGAATGGCCCCATCCTTCCTAAGTTTGAGTTATTCACTGCGTTAGCACACTCCGCCAACCCTGATGTTCTAGCAGTGTCTGAATCCTGGCTTAGGAAGGCCACCAAAAATTCTGAAATTTCCATCCCCAACTATAACATTTTCCGTCTAGATAGAACTGCCAAAGGGGGTGGAGTTGCAATCTACTGTAGAGATAGCCTGCAGAGCTCCATCATTCTATCCAGGTCTGTGCCCAATCACTGCCTTATTGCCTGCGTCCGTAACGGGTCCGCGGTCAAACGACCACCCCTCATCACTGTCAAACGCTCCCAAAAACACTTCAGCGAGCAGGCCTTCCTAATTGACCTGGCCCAGGTATCCTGGATGGATATAGATCTCATTCCGTCAGTAGAGGATGCCTGGTTGTTCTTTAAAAGTAATTTCCTCTCAATCTTAAATAGACATGCCCCATTCAAAAAATACAGAACTAAGAACAGATATAGCCCCTGGTTCTCCTCAGACTTGACTGCCCTTGACCAGCACAAAAACATCCTGTGGCGTACTGCATTAGCATCAAATAGCCCCCGTGATATGCAACTTTTCAGGGAAGTTAGGAACCAATATACACAAGCAGTTAGGAAAGCAAAGGCTAACTTTTTCAAACAGAAATTTGCATCCTGTAGCACTAACTCCAAAAAGTTTTGGGACACTGTAAAGTCCATGGAAAATAAGAGCACTTCCTCCCAGCTGCCCACTGCACTGAGGCTAGGAAACACTATCACCACCGATAAATCTACAATAATCGAGAATTTCAACAAGCATTTTGCTACGGCTGGCCATGCTTTCCACCTGGCTACCACTACCCCGGCCACCAGCTCTGCACCCTCCGCTGCAACTTGCCCATGCCCCCCCCGCTTCTCCTTCACACAAATCCAGACAGCTGATGTCCTGAAAGAGCTGCAAAATCTGGACCCCTACAAATCATCTGGGCTAGACAATCTGGACCCTTTCTTTCTAAAACTAGCCGCCGAAATTGTCGCAACCCCTATTACTAGCCTGTTCAACCTCTCTTTCGTAACGTCTGAGATCCCCAGAGATTGGAAAGCTGCCGCGGTCATCCCCCTCTTCAAAGGGGGTGACACTCTAGATCCAAACTGTTACAGACCCATATCCATCCTGCCCTGCCTTTCAAAAGTTTTTGAAAGCCAAGTCAACAAACAGATCACCGACCATTTCGAATCCCACCGTACCTTCTCCGCTATGCAATCCGGTTTCCGAGCTGGTCATGGGTGCACTTCAGCCACGCTCAAGGTCCTAAATGATATTATAACCGCGATCGATAATAGACAGTACTGTGCAGCCGTTTTCATTGACCTGGCCAAGGCTTTCGACTCTGTCAACCACCGCATTCTTATTGGCAGACTAAATAGCCTTGGTTTCTCAAATGACTGCCTCGCCTGGTTCACCAACTACTTCTCAGATAGAGTTCAATGTGTCAAATCGGAGGGAGACTCTTTTCTCTGTGTATATCAATGACGTCGCTCTTGCTGCTGGTGACTCTCAGATCCACCTCTACGCAGACGACACCATTTTGTATACATCTGGCCCTTCATTGGACACTGTGTTAACAAACCTCCAAACGAGCTTCAATTCCATACAACACTCCTTCAGTAGCCTCCAACTGCTCTTAAACGCTAGTAAAACTAAATGCATGCTCTTCAACCGAACGCTGCTTGCACCCGCCCACCCGACTAGAATCACTACTCTAGACGGGTCTGACCTAGAGTATGTGGACAACTACAAATATCTAGGTGTCTGGTTAGACTGTAAACTCTCCTTCCAGACTCACATTAAGAATCTCCAATCCAAAGTTAAATCTAGAATCGGTTTCCTATTTCGCAACAAAGCCTCCTTCACTCATGCTGCCAAACATGCCCTCGTAAAACTGACTATCCTACCGATCCTTGACTTCGGCGATGTCATTTACAAAATAGCCTCCAACACTCTACTCAGCAAATTGGATGTTGTCTATCACAGTGCCATCCGTTTTGTCTCCAAAGCCCCATATAATACCCACCACTGTGACCTGTACGCTCTTGTTGGCTGGTCCTCACTACATATTCGTCGCCAAACCCACTGGCTCCAGGCCATCTATACATCACTGCTAGGCAAATCCCCGCCTTATCTTAGCTCATTGGTCACCATAGCAGCACCCACCCATAGTATGCGCTCCAGCGGGTATATCTCACTGGTCATCCCCAAAGCCAACACCTCCTTTGGCCGCAATTCCTTCCAGTTCTCTGCTGCCAATGACTGGAACAAATTGCAAAAATCTCTGAAGCTGGAGACTCTTATCTCCCTCACTAACTTTAAGCATCAGTTGTCAGAGCACCTTACCGATCACTGCACCTGTACACAGCCCATCTGAAATTAGCCCGCCCAACTACCTCATCCCTATATTGTTATTTATTTTGCTCATTTGTACCCCAGTATCTCTATTTGCACATCATCTCTTGCACATCATTCCAGTGTTAATACTAAATTGTAATTATTTTGCACTATAGCCTATTTTATTGCCTTACCTCCATAACTTGCTAAATTTCCACACTGTATATTAATTGTATTTCTGTTGTATTTTTGACTTTGTTTTGTTTTACCCCATATGTAACTCTGTTGTTTTTATCGCACTGCTTTGCTTTATCTTGGCCAGGTCGCAGTTGTAAATGAGAACTTGTTCTCAACTGGTTTACCTGGTTAAATAAAGGTGAAATAAATAAATAAATAAAAATCCTGCCTGGTGTCAACGGTACAGGCTGGTGGCGGTGGTGTAATGGTGTGGGGAATGTTTTCCTGGCACACGTTAGGTCCCTTGATATCAAATAAGCAACGTGTCCATGTCACAAAGAATTCAGGCTGTTCTGGAGGCAAAGGGGGGTCCGACCGGGTGCTAGATGGGTGTACCTAATAAACTGACAATTTGGGTGCACCTAGGACACGGAGTACACAAAACATTAAGAACACCTGCTCATTCCATGAAAGACTGACCAGGTGAAAGCTATGATCCCTTACTGATGTCACTTGTTAAATCCACTTCAATCAGTGTAGATGAAAGGGAGGACAGGCTAAAAAATGATTTTTAAGCCTTGAGACAATTCAGACATGGATTATGTGCGCCATTCAGAGGGTGAATGGGAAAGACAAATACTAAGTGCCTTTGAATGGGGTATGGTAATAAGTGCACCGGTTTGTGTCAAGAACTGCAATGCTGCTGGATTTTTCACGCTCAACAGTTTTCTGTGTATCAAGAATGGTGCACCACCTTGTGGGGGGGGGGGGGGGGGGGGGTTCAACCAACAACCTTGTTTCCTCAGTTGAAGGGAAATACAATGTTTTGTTTGTGTGAACCAGCCAACCTGGACTGTTTGCAGTATGCTGATCCCCTCATTTCATACTCTGGAGAGTCATGGGACCAAAAGACTGGGTCACGGCGTTGCCAGATTTGTGATCTCTTACAAAAGGTGTGAGGAAAACTGGAGATTGGAGCTCTAAAATAATTCAGACTGGACACTGTAAACTTTTAAATTACCTTTTTATTCCACATACATGAAATAACATTTCCCTCCAGATAACAGTTATGCTTGGGTGTTTTGTATGAAAATTCCAAAAGACATGGACAAAGCTAGCCAGCCCGACAACAATCTCCTTTTCCTCCCCATTAACTAGTTCTTAGCCACAAGTATCAAAAGAAAAAACCTAAATTAAAATAAAAACCTTAACTGGAAAAAGCAGTAACTAGATAAGCACGTGGGGAAATTCATCCTGCTCTGCTGGTTCAAACAGTCCCAGTATTAAGCATGTCCTCTTTGTTCTAGACTTTTCTATACCTCCTAAATGACACAGAAATACAATGACGTCAGCAGGTCAGTCAAACTGAAGAAGAAGAAACTGGAGCAGTAGAGAGCCAGATTTATGGAATGTAACTATCCAAGGTCTCCTCTCAAACGGCACCCTATTCCCATCATAGTGCACAGGTTTCTGACCAGGGCCCATAGAGTTCAGGTCTAAAGTAGTGCACTATTTAGAGAATAGGGTGCCATTTGGGGCCGCAGACAACACCACCATCGATAGATGCCTCAGGACTATCCCCTACTGCTCCTGCTGTCAGTTGTCTAGCGGTAGCTGTCAGTTGTCTAGCGGTAGCTGTCAGTTGTCTAGCGGTAGCTGTCAGTTGTCTAGCGGTAGCTGTCAGTTGTCTAGCGGTAGCTGTCAGTTGTCTAGCGGTAGCTGTCAGTTGTCTAGCGGTAGCTGTCAGTTGTCTAGGTAGCCGTCAGTTGTCTAGGTAGCCGTCAGTTGTCTAGCGGTAGCCGTCAGTTGTCTAGCGGTAGCCGTCAGTTGTCTAGCGGTAGCTGTCAGTTGTCTAGGTAGCCGTCAGTTGTCTAGGTAGCCGTCAGTTGTCTAGCGGTAGCCGTCAGTTGTCTAGCGGTAGCCGTCAGTTGTCTAGCGGTAGCCGTCAGTTGTCTAGCGGTAGCTGTCAGTTGTCTAGCGGTAGCTGTCAGTTGTCTAGCGGTAGCTGTCAGTTGTCTAGCGGTAGCTGTCAGTTGTCTAGCGGTAGCTGTCAGTTGTCTAGCGGTAGCTGTCAGTTGTCTAGCGGTAGCTGTCAGTTGTCTAGCGGTAGCTGTCAGTTGTCTAGGTAGCTACAGACTAAAACCGCTCGCTGCTGCCTCCTCCAATCAAGACAGACTGATGTTGAACCACAAATGAATCAAGCAATGTTGTCAAGCACAAGATCATTAACATGAACACAGGTAGAGTATACCAGGTTTATTCAAAACCTGAACTTGCCACATTGCATGAGTTGAGAACTTGCCGTCACCCTTCAACATACATGGAACACCTACCATGCTGGACGTCCCACCAACCCCTCACCTCAACCTACCATGCTGGACGTCCCACCAACCCCTCACCTCAACCTACCATGCTGGACGTCCCACCAACCCCTCCCCTCAACCTACCATGCTGGACGTCCCACCAACCCCTCACCTCAACCTACCATGCTGGACGTCCCACCAACCCCTCACCTCAACCTACCATGCTGGACGTCCCACCAACCCCTCACCTCAACCTACCATGCTGGACGTCCCACCAACCCCTCACCTCAACCTACCATGCTGGACGTCCCACCAACCCCTCACCTCAACCTACCATGCTGGACGTCCCACCAACCCCTCCCCTCAACCTACCATGCTGGACGTCCCACCAACCCCTCACCTCAACCTACCATGCTGGACGTCCCACCAACCCCTCACCTCAACCTACCATGCTGGACGTCCCACCAACCCCTCCCTGGAAAGCAACCCCCCCAACAATGACTCCAAAAGAAGAGTAAAGTATGGAGGAGAGTGAGACGTTGGGACAGAGAACTAGAGAGAGGTGCTGGGCTGGATGAGGTGGTCCGTCTGTCTGTCTGTCTCAGTGGTGATAGAAGGAGGATGAAGAGTTGACAGCGATGATGACAGTCAGACAGACAGGGACCAGGTCAGTCTCTACCCTCCTCAGCATCCTCTCCATCTCCCTGGTTGTCTGAGGTCCACAACTACAGAGATGGAGAGGGGAGAGAGAGACACAGAGAGAGAGACACAGAGAGAGAGAGATAGACACAGAGAGAGACACAGAGAGAGAGAGACACAGAGAGAGAGAGAGAGAGAGAGAGAGAGAGAGAGAGAGAGAGAGAGAGAGAGAGACACAGAGAGAGAGAGAGAGAGAGAGAGACACAGAGAGAGAGAGATGGAGAGAGAGACACACAGAGAGAGAGAAAGATGGAGAGGGGAGAGAGAGACACAGAGAGAGAGATGGAGAGGGGAGAGAGAGGGAGAGAGAGATGGAGAGGGGAGAGAGAGGGGACAGGGATTAACAACATGTTCAAACACTGTAGGACAACATACACATTACATGTCAGCAGAGCTGAACTCGTACTGGGTACATTCACTCATTCTACATTCTAGTCATTTAGCAGGTCAAACACAGGTTACATTATTTTGCTTTGTCTCAGGAATATGTGCCAAAGGAGTGAGACACCAGCAACTGTCCAACCCCTCTACATCATATAACTCAACCCAGTGACAGCAGGGGGAACTATGATGTAATACATGACCCAACCTCTCTACATCATAACTCAACCCAGTGACAGCAGGGGGAACTATGATGTAATACATGACCCAACCTCTACATCATAACTCAACCCAGTGACAGCAGGGGGAACTATGATGTAATACATGACCCAACCTCTCTACATCATAACTCAACCCAGTGACAGCAGGGGAACTATGATGTAATACATGACCCAACCTCTCTACATCATAACTCAACCCAGTGACAGCAGGGGGAACTATGATGTAATACATGACCCAACCTCTCTACATCATAACTCAACCCAGTGACAGCAAGGGGAACTATGATGTAATACATGACCCAACCTCTCCACATCATAACTCAACCCAGTGACAGCAGGGGGAACTATGATGTAATACATGACCCAACCTCTCTACATCATAACTCAACCCAGTGACAGCAGGGGGAACTATGATGTAATACATGACCCAACCTCTACATCATAACTCAACCCAGTGACAGCAGGGGGAACTATGATGTAATACATGACCCAAACTCTACATCATAACTCAACCCAGTGACAGCAGGGGGAACTATGATGTAATACATGACCCAACCTCTACATCATAACTCAACCCAGTGACAGCAGGGGAACTATGATGTAATACATGACCCTACCTCTCTACATCATAACTCAACCCAGTGACAGCAGGGGGAACTATGATGTAATACATGACCCAACCTCTACATCATAACTCAACCCAGTGACAGCAGGGGAACTATGATGTAATACATGATCCTACCTCTCTACATCATAACTCAACCCAGTGACAGCAGGGGAACTATGATGTAATACATGACCCAACCTCTCTACATCATAACTCAACCCAGTGACAGCAGGGGAACTATGATGTAATACATCATAACTCAACCCAGTGACAGCAGGGGAACTATGATGTAATACATAACTCAACCCAGTGACAGCAGGGGGAACTATGATGTAATACATGACCCAACCTCTCTACATCATAACTCAACCCAGTGACAGCAGGGGGAACTATGATGTAATACATGACCCAACCTCTCTACATCATAACTCAACCCAGTGACAGCAGGGGAACTATGATGCAATACATGACCCAACCTCTCTACATCATAACTCAACCCAGTGACAGCAGGGGGAACTATGATGTAATACATGACCCAACCTCTACATCATAACTCAACCCAGTGACAGCAGGGGGAACTATGATGTAATACATGACCCAACCTCTCTACATCATAACTCAACCCAGTGACAGCAGGGGAACTATGATGTAATACATGACCCTACCTCTCTACATCATAACTCAACCCAGTGACAGCAGGGGAACTATGATGTAATACATGACCCTACCTCTCTACATCATAACTCAACCCAGTGACAGCAGGGGAACTATGATGTAATACATGACCCTACCTCTCTACATCATAACTCAACCCAGTGACAGCAGGGGAACTATGATGTAATACATGACCCAACCTCTCTACATCATAACTCAACCCAGTGACAGCGGGGGAACTATGATGTAATACATGATCCTACCTCTCTACATCATCACTCAACCCAGTGACAGCAGGGGAACTAAGATACTTACTGTCAAGTTGTCTCTCAGCAGCTGCATGATCAAGGTGCTGTCTTTGTACGAGTCTTCACTCAGAGAATCAAGCTCTGCAATGGCGTCATCGAAAGCCTGCAGGAGAACAACAGTAGCATCAGATCACATTGTTGTGCTACATTGGATATTGATTACCGCATTGTTGGGTTTGGAGCTTGCAAGAAAAGGCATTTTTCGCTGTACTTGTGCACGTGACATTAAAACACGAAGGACAGAGGGACACACTAGCTAGAACCTTTTGCATCTCAACTCTGGCAAAAAGCATTTCCCCCACGTTGTTCATCAGATTCTACTGCAGGAGACGTGGAATAGAACAGCAGAAAACCGGGTGCATCAAATTAAATTAGCCAGCTGCAGTCATTTTGAGAAATATTAAGAAAAATGTTGGTGAATTTTCTTGCTCAAATTAACCAGTTATCTACCTTTGATAAGCAGCGAGTTAGCTATAGATAGCTGGTAGCTTGCTAGCGCCTTGCTAGCTAGTTAGCTCCCATGCAAATTTCAAGTCTTAACTAATATCTGACTAACTCAGAAATATGAAGTTATGAAAGTTACCTGGCTAGCGCATCATGCTTTGTGACATTATGTTAGCTAGCCATACCCAGCTAGATCATGTTTTCACTTATTGTATCTGAAAGCTTGTTGCGTTCTCCCTGGTTTCCACTAGTTACCACAGCCACAATGTCAAAATTGTCTCGATCGTAAAAAAAATCACTGAAAACAAAATGAGCTTTTTGGTCTAAATTTAAGGTTAGAAATAAGGTTTCCAGTGTGGTTAAAGGTTAGGATTAGGTTTAAAATCAAAAGATCAATCACATTTTTTATTTCGGTTTTGATTATTTGGTTAGAATGATGTAGCACAGAAAAAAACAATTAATAAATGACGTTGGAGGCGGCTTATGGTAGAGAAATGAACATTCAATTCTCTGGGAACAGCTCTGGTGGACATTCCTGCAGTCAGCATGCCAATTGCACGCTCCCACAAATCTTGAGACATCTGTGGCATTGTGTTGTGTGACAAAACTGCACCTTTTAGAGTGGCCTTTTATTGTCCCCAGCACAAGGTGCACCAGTGTAACGATCATGCTGTTTAATCAGCTTCTTGATATGCCACACCTGTCAGGTGGATGGATTATCTTGGCAAAGGAGAAATGCTCACTAACAGTGATGTAAACAAATTTGTGCACCAAATTTGAGAGAAATGTTTTTTTTTTGCGTATGGAAAATTTCTGTGATCTTTTATTTCAGCTCATGAAACATGGGACCAACACTTTACATGTTGCGTTTATATTTTTGTTCAGTATAGATGCGCAATGGATTATGGTCACTGTAGTTAATTACCAGGTTTTATGCGCTAAACTATGTAGAATATTGGGCCTGTTGGAAACTACAACATCACACAGTTCAGGCTGGATCTGATATATCTCTGCGCACTGAGCTCACAGAAGAAGGAAAACAATTAATGGAAGTCAAATAATTGAACCTATGTCGGGTCAATTAATTGTTTAAAAAAAACAATTTACTGAGATGTTGGATAATCATTCAGCATTACCAACCAAATCACGCCCTGGGTATTCAGCCAATCAGCGGCCGCAGCGGTCACATGCGCTGAATACAACAGGTGTACACTTTACCGTGAAATGCTTAATAATATAATAATAATAATAATAATAATAATAATATGCCATTTAGCAGACACTTTTATCCAAAGCGACTTACAGTCATGCGTGCATACATTTTTGTGTATGGGTGGTCCCGGGGATCGAACCCACTACCTTGGCGTTATAAGCGCCGTGCTCTACCAGCTGAGCTACAGAGGACCACATATTTAATAGTATACTGATTCCTTGAGCACCAAGCATCACACAACGACTTGTTAAGTAACAATTTCACAAATTCGTCTGTTTTTCATCTTTGCTTACTAACAAGCCCTTAACCAACAACGCAGAGTTAAAAAGTAAGAAAAAGTTGCCAAATAAAAAAAGGAAATACTAAAGACAATAACATAACAATAATGAGGCTATATACAAGGAGTAGCAGTACAGAGTCACTGTGCAGGGGTACCAGCTAGTGGAGGTAATATGTACATGTAGGTAGGGGTAAATGGGACTAGGTAATCAGGATAGATAATAAACAGAGTAGATATGACGTTATCCAAGCAAGCCGTCTTATGTACAAAGGCCCTACGGCAGTGAATCTCAACCGGTTTTGTCGAAAGGACCCACATTTCACGGGGTCACTTCAGTCACGTTCCCCAGACACCCAGGACCCTTTGAAAAACGTCCTGCGACCCACCAGTTGAGACTCACTGCCCTACAGGACTGTCAACCCTTCATCAACCGCCCACATACCGTCTTGGCCAGTTTGCAGGCCTGCTCAGGGGAGTTGAGGATCTCGTAATAGAAGACGGAGAAGTTGAGAGCCAGACCCAGACGGATAGGGTGGGTGGGCTGCATGTCGTTCTTACTGATCTCAAACGCATCCTTATAGGCCTCCTGGGAGTTACCGATGATGGCTGGAGGGAGGAGAGAGAGATTCAAAATATACTACTTTAAACAAATACATCTCTTTAAGAGGATAACATCAATTGTCATTTTCCTGAATAACTTTATTCAGACAGTGTTCTGTCTTTAAGATCAGAAATACTAACCCAAAAATACAACTTGAAAAACTAAGAGCAACCAAATCTAGGCATGTTGTGGTCTGGAAGTATCGGTTGTAGACAATGAGTCAAAGTGATAACGGTATCACAATGGTTGTAGTGGTGAGGGCGTACCGGGGCCTTGTAGTGGTGAGGGGTGTACTGGGCCTTGTAGTGGTGAGGGTGTACCGGGGCCTTGTAGTGGTGAGGGGTGTACTGGGCCTTGTAGTGGTGAGGGGTGTACCGGGGCCTTGTAGTGGTGAGGGTGTACCGGGGCCCTGTAGTGGTGAGGGTGTACCGGGGCCTTGTAGTGGTGAGGGGCGTACCGGGGCCTTGTATGGTGGGGTCCCCTGAGGGAGGTGTACCGGGGCCTTGTATGGTGAGGGCTACCGGGGCCTTGTAGTGGTGAGGGTGTACCGGGGCGCTTGTAGTGGGTGAGTGGGCGTACCGGGGCCTTGTAGTGGTGAGGGTGTAACTGGGGGCCTGTAGTGGTGAGGGGCGTACCGGGGCCTTGTAGTGGTGAGGGGGCGTACCGGGGCCTTGTAGTGGTGAGGGGTGTAACCGGGGCCTTGTAGTGGTGAGGGCGTACTGGGCCTTGTAGTGGTGAGGGCGTACCGGGGCCTTGTAGTGGTGAGGGCGTACGTGGGCCTTGTAGTGGTGAGGGGTGTACCGGGGCCTTGTAGTGGTGAGGGGTGTACCGGGGCCTTGTAGTGGTGAGGGGTGTAACGTGGGCCTTGTAGTGGGTGAGGGGTGTACCGGGGGCCTTGTAGTGGTGAGGGTGTACCGGGGCCTTGTAGTGGTGAGGGGTGTACTGGGGCCTTGTAGTGGTGAGGGGTGTACCGGGCCTTGTAGTGGTGAGGGGTGTACTGGGCCTTGTAGTGGTGAGGGGTGTACCGGGCCTTGTAGTGGTGAGGGCGTACCGGGGCCTTGTAGTGGTGAGGGGCGTACCGGGGCCTTGTAGTGGTGAGGGTGTACCGGGGCCTTGTAGTGGTGAGGGCGTACCGGGGCCTTGTAGTGGTGAGGGTGTACGGGGCCTTGTAGTGGTGAGGGCGTACCGGGGCCTTGTAGTGGTGAGGGCGTACCGGGGCCTTGTAGTGGTGAGGGGCGTACCGGGGCCTTGTAGTGGTGAGGGTGTACCGGGGCCTTGTAGTGGTGAGGGCGTACCGGGGCCTTGTAGTGGTGAGGGTGTACGGGGCCTTGTAGTGGTGAGGGCGTACCGGGGCCTTGTAGTGGTGAGGGCGTACCGGGGCCTTGTAGTGGCGAGGGGTGTACGTGGGCCTTGTAGTGGTGAGGGTGTACGTGGCCTTGTAGTGGTGAGGGTGTACGTGGGCCTTGTAGTGGGTGAGGGCGTACCGGGGCCTTGTAGTGGTGAGGGGTGTACGGGGCCTTGTAGTGGCGAGGGGTGTACGGGGCCTTGTAGTGGTGAGGGGCGTACCGGGGCCTTGTAGTGGTGAGGGGTGTACGTGGGCCTTGTAGTGGTGAGGGGTGTACCGGGGCCTTGTAGTGGTGAGGGCGTACGGGGCCTTGTAGTGGTGAGGGGTGTACTGGGCCTTGTAGTGGTGAGGGTGTACTGGGGCCTTGTAGTGGTGAGGGGTGTACTGGGGCCTTGTAGTGGTGAGGGTGTACCGGGGCCTTGTAGTGGTGAGGGGTGTACTGGGCCTTGTAGTGGTGAGGGGCGTACCGGGGCCTTGTAGTGGTGAGGGTGTACCGGGGCCTTGTAGTGGTGAGGGTGTACGGGGCCTTGTAGTGGTGAGGGCGTACCGGGGCCTTGTAGTGGCGAGGGGTGTACGTGGGCCTTGTAGTGGTGAGGGTGTACGTGGCCTTGTAGTGGTGAGGGTGTACGTGGGCCTTGTAGTGGTGAGGGCGTACCGGGGCCTTGTAGTGGTGAGGGTGTACGGGGCCTTGTAGTGGCGAGGGGTTGTACGGGGCCTTGTAGTGGTGAGGGCGTACCGGGGCCTTGTAGTGGTGAGGGTGTACGGGGCCTTGGTAGTGGCGAGGGGTGTACGGGGCCTTGTAGTGGTGAGGGGCGTACCGGGGCCTTGTAGTGGTGAGGGGGTGTACGTGGGCCTTGTAGTGGTGAGGGGTGTACCGGGGCCTTGTAGTGGTGAGGGCGTACGGGGCCTTGTAGTGGTGAGGGGTGTACTGGGCCTTGTAGTGGTGAGGGTGTACTGGGGCCTTGTAGTGGTGAGGGGTGTACTGGGGCCTTGTAGTGGTGAGGGTGTACCGGGGCCTTGTAGTGGTGAGGGGTGTACTGGGCCTTGTAGTGGTGAGGGGCGTACCGGGGCCTTGTAGTGGTGAGGGTGTACCGGGGCCTTGTAGTGGTGAGGGTGTACGGGGCCTTGTAGTGGGAGGGCGTACCGGGGCCTTGTAGTGGCGAGGGGTGTACGTGGGCCTTGTAGTGGTGAGGGTGTACGTGGCCTTGTAGTGGTGAGGGTGTACGTGGGCCTTGTAGTGGTGAGGGCGTACCGGGGCCTTGTAGTGGTGAGGGTGTACGGGGCCTTGTAGTGGGAGGGTGTACGGGGCCTTGTAGTGGTGAGGGGCGTACCGGGGCCTTGTAGTGGTGAGGGGTGTACGTGGGCCTTGTAGTGGTGAGGGTGTACGGGGCCTTGTAGTGGTGAGGGGTACGGGGCCTTGTAGTGGTGAGGGGTACGGGGCCTTGTAGTGGTGAGGGGTGTACGGGGCCTTGTAGTGGTGAGGGGCGTACCGGGGCCTTGTAGTGGTGAGGGCGTACGGGGCCTTGTAGTGGTGAGGGCGTACGGGGCCTTGTAGTGGTGAGGGGCGTACCGGGGCCTTGTAGTGGTGAGGGGCGTACGGGGCCTTGTAGTGGTGAGGGTGTACGGGGCCTTGTAGTGGTGAGGGTGTACGGGGCCTTTAGTGGTCGAGGCGTGGGGCATTTAGTTGGTGAGCTACTTGGCCTTGCAGTGAGGAGGTGTGTACTGGGCATTAGTCGTTTCGGGCGTACGGGCCAGTAGTGCTGAAGGGAACTGGGGCCTGTATGGTGAGGGACGTACCTGGGCCATTTAGTGCTTGAGAGCTCGTACGTGGCCTTCTATGGGAGGGCGTCTGCCTTGTAGTGATGAGGCTGTACGGGGCCTTCTAGTGTTCAGGGGTCACGGAGCCTTATGTCCTACAGCTTCGCAGCACTTAGAGCTAGCGTCTACTGGCCTCTGCCTCACGAGCGGTCCAGTCACTAGAACTAAGCCTCTACTGGCCTCCTCACAGCTTCCTCAGTCACTAGACTAGCGCTACTGGCCTCCTCAGCTTCCTCATCATAGAATACCTCTACTGGCCTCCCTCACAGCTTCCTCCAGTCACTAGAACTAGCCTCTACTGCCTCCCTCACAGCTTCCTTCCAGTCACTAGAACTAGCCTCTACTGGCCTCCCTCACAGCTTCCTCCAGTCACTAGAACTAGCCTCTACTAGGCCTCCCTCACAGCTTCCTCCAGTCACTAGAACTAGCCTCTACTGGCCTCCCTCACAGCTTCCTCCAGTCACTAGAACTAGCCTCTACTAGCCTCCCTCACAGCTTCCTCCAGTCACTAGAACTAGCCTCTACTGGCCTCCCTCACAGCTTCCTCCAGTCACTAGAACTAGCCTCTACTGGCCTCCCTCACAGCTTCCTCCAGTCACTAGAACTAGCCTCTACTAGCCCCTCCTCTCACACTCCTTCCTCCAGTCACTAGAACTAGCCTCTACTAGCCTCCCTCACAGCTTCCTCCAGTCACTAGAACTAGCCTCTACTGGCCTCCCTCACAGCTTCCTCCAGTCACTAGAACTAGCCTCTACTGCCTCCCTCACAGCTTCCTCCAGTCACTAGAACTAGCCTCTACTGGCCTCCCTCACAGCTTCCTCCAGTCACTAGAACTAGCCTCTACTGGCCTCCCTCACAGCTTCCTCCAGTCACTAGAACTAGCCTCTACTGGCCTCCCTCACAGCTTCCTCCAGTCACTAGAACTAGCCTCTACTGGCCTCCCTCACAGCTTCCTCCAGTCACTAGAACTAGCCTCTACTGGGCCTCCTCCCAGCTTCCTCCAGTCACTAGAACTAGCCTCTACTGGCCTCCCTCACAGCTTCCTCCAGTCACTAGAACTAGCCTCTACTAGCCTCCCTCACAGCTTCCTCCAGTGACTAGAACTAGCCTCTACTGGCCTCCCTCACAGCTTCCTCCAGTCACTAGAACTAGCCTCTACTGGCCTCCCTCACAGCTTCCTCCAGTCACTAGAACTAGCCTCTACTGGCCTCCCTCACAGCTTCCTCCAGTCACTAGAAACTAGCCTCTACTGGCCTCCCTCACAGCTTCCTCCAGTCACTAGAACTAGCCTCTACTGGCCTCCCTCACAGCTTCCTCCAGTCACTAGAACTAGCCTCAGCGTGCCCTTCATTCAGAATATCTGGCTGTCCACAAACTATGACTCCTATGAATAACACTAGGACTATGTATGAGTGGGCCGAATGAGGTCAGTTTCATGGGCGTGGTACCCTACGTAGCAGTACAGTCAGTGAGTCAGCCCTATGTTCTTGGGTGTGGCACACCATGTAGTAATGTTTATAGAAGACCTAAAGCCCTGGATCAGAGCAGACAGCCATCTTGGATCAACCAGGACACAGCTCTCCTGCTTCAGCTGCAACACAAAGCTAACAGGTCACGCCCTTCTCTCTCTGGTAGTGTCTGCTACCATCTCTCTCTCTGGTAGTGTCTGCTACCATCTCTCTCTCTGGTAGTGTGTGCTACCATCTCTCTCTCTGGTAGTGTCTGCTACCATCTCTCTCTCTGGTAGTGTGTGCTACCATCTCTCTCTCTGGTAGTGTGTCCTACCATCTCTCTCTCTGGTAGTGTGTGCTACCATCTCTCTCTCTGGTAGTGTGTGCTACCATCTCTCTCTCTGGTAGTGTGTCCTACCATCTCTCTCTCTCTGGTAGTGTGTCCTACCATCTCTCTCTCTGGTAGTGTCTGCTACCATCTCTCTCTCTGGTAGTGTGTGCTACCATCTCTCTCTCTGGTAGTGTGTCCTACCATCTCTCTCTCTCTGGTAGTGTCTGCTACCATCTCTCTCTCTGGTAGTGTCTGCTACCATCTCTCTCTCTGGTAGTGTGTGCTACCATCTCTCTCTCTCTGGTAGTGTCTGCTACCATCTCTCTCTCTGGTAGTGTCTGCTACCATCTCTCTCTCTGGTAGTGTGTGCTACCATCTCTCTCTCTGGTAGTGTATGCTACATCTCTCTCTTGGTAGTGTCTGCTACCATCTCTCTCTCTGGTAGTGTCTGCTACCATCTCTCTCTCTGGTAGTGTCTGCTACCATCTCTCTCTCTGGTAGTGTGTGCTACATCTCTCTCTCTGGTAGTGTCTGGCTACCATCTCTCTCTCTGGTAGTGTCTGCTACCATCTCTCTCTCTGGTAGTGTCTGCTACCATCTCTCTCTCTGGTAGTGTCTGCTACCATCTCTCTCTCTGGTAGTGTCTGCTACCATCTCTCTCTCTGGTAGTGTCTGCTACCATCTCTCTCTCTGGTAGTGTCTGCTACCATCTCTCTCTCTGGTAGTGTCTGCTACCATCTCTCTCTCTGGTAGTGTCTGCTACCATCTCTCTCTCTGGTAGTGTCTGCTACCATCTCTCTCTCTCTGGTAGTGTGTGCTACCATCTCTCTCTCTGGTAGCTTGGTGTGACAGGGGGCAGGGCTTGGTGTGTCAGGGGGCAGGGCTTGGTGTGTCAGGGGGCAGGGCTTGGTGTGTCAGGGGGCAGGGCTTGGTGTGTCAGGGGGCAGGGCTTGGTGTGTCAGGGGGCAGGGCTTGGTGTGACAGGGGGCAGGGCTTGGTGTGTCAGGGGGCAGGGCTTGGTGTGTCAGGGGGCAGGGCTTGGTGTGTCAGGGGGCAGGGCTTGGTGTGTCAGGGGGCAGGGCTTGGTGTGACAGGGGGCAGGGCTTGGTGTGTCAGGGGGCAGGGCTTGGTGTGTCAGGGGGCAGGGCTTGGTGTGTCAGGGGGCAGGGCTTGGTGTGTCAGGGGGCAGGGCTTGGTGTGTCAGGGGGCAGGGCTTGGTGTGTCAGGGGGCAGGGCTTGGTGTGGTTAGCAGCATGCACCAGGAGGGGAGGGAGAAAGATTACTCCAGTAGCAAACAGAGTAAACTATAAAAACGGACATTACACGCGCTGGAGATGCAGATCACATTTAACAAACCAAACATTGAAATAGCGTTCTAGAAGGTAAAGTAATAACCCAAACCGGTCCATGCATCAATATTGGTATAAAATAAAAGATGGTCTACTGCCCAGCCCTACTACAGTACAGGTCTCCATTTACATGTTAGTCATTTAGCAGACGCTCTTATCCAGAGCGACTTACAGTTAGTGAGTGCATACATTATTATTTTATTTTTTTATACTGGCCCCCCGTGGGAAACGAACCCACAACCTTGGCGTTGCAAACGCCATGCTCTACCAACTGAGCCAAATCCCTGCCGGCCGTTCCCTCCCCTACCCTGGACGACGCTGGGCCAATTGTGCGCCGCCCCCATGGGTCTCCCGGTCGCGGCAGGCTACGACAGAGCCTGGATTCGAACCAGGATCTCTAGTGGCACAGCTAGCACTGCGATGCAGTGCCTTAGACCACTGCGCCTCCAGACAGACTTCCTGTATACACCAACAACCCCCATGCTCCTCCTCAACTCAATCCTGTGTAGACTTGGCTACTCTTTATACTGTGGTGAAGAAGTTTATGGCATCTTTTGGATTACATCAATTAAGACATCCGCAGATCCAGCAGACAAGCTTCCACTGTCATTTCATGTGTTTTCTGGAGCCATATCACAGTGTGAGGCAGGGGTAACAGAACCACACCGCTAGCTGTTACCAGCCCTCTGAACCACTCCGCTAGCTGTTACCAGCCCTCTGAACCACTCCGCTAGCTGTTACCAGCCCTCTGAACCACACCGCTAGCTGTTACCAGCCCTCTGAACCACTCCGCTAGCTGTTACCAGCCCTCTGAACCACTCCGCTAGCTGTTACCAGCCCTCTGAACCACACCGCTAGCTGTTACCAGCCCTCTGAACCACACCGCTAGCTGTTACCAGCCCTCTGAACCACTCCGCTAGCTGACACCAGCCCTCTGAACCACACCGCTAGCTGTTACCAGCCCTCTGAAGCACTCCACTAGCTGTTACCAGCCCTCTGAACCACACCACTAGCTGTTACCAGCCCTCTGAACCACACCGCTAGCTGTTACCAGCCCTCTGAACCACTCCGCTAGCTGACACCAGCCCTCTGAACCACACCGCTAGCTGTTACCAGCCCTCTGAAGCACTCCGCTAGCTGTGATTTAAAAATGAGATCGCGATAGAAACAAATGGCCTTGGTCCATAGAACCATGGTTATGTCAGTAACCTCCGCTAGCTGCTAGCTGCGGTTGTAATAAACAGAGTTTATGCTTCTGTTTTCTTCCTACAAATTTGGCTCCATCTTTTGAACGGTTTAAGCTAGAAAATATTATGACCCATCACTGAAAGATAAGACTCTCAGAATGTTTCCCTCTACAATGCCCACAGGACAGGACCAGGCCAGAATGTTTCCCTCTACAATGCCCACAGGACAGGACCAGGCCAGAATGTTTCCCTCTACAATGCCCACAGGACAGGACCAGGCCAGAATGTTTCCCTCTACAATGCCCACAGGACAGGACCAGGCCAGAATGTTTCCCTCTACAATGCCCACAGGACAGGACCAGGCCAGAATGTTTCCCTCTACAATGCCCACAGGACAGGACCAGGCCAGAATGTTTCCCTCTACAATGCCCACAGGACAGGACCAGGCCAGAATGTTTCCCTCTACAATGCCCACAGGACAGGACCAGGCCAGAATGTTTCCCTCTACAATGCCCACAGGACAGGACCAGGCCAGAATGTTTCCCTCTACAATGCCCACAGGACAGGACCAGGCCAGAATGTTTCCCTCTACAATGCCCACAGGACAGGACCAGGCCAGAATGTTTCCCTCTACAATGCCCACAGGACAGGACCAGGCCAGAATGTTTCCCTCTACCATGCCCACAGGACAGGACCAGGCACTAAATAAGACTGGGGGGAAAAAGAACAATGATTGTTATTTTCTAGACAGAAGATCATACTAAATTATTTCAGTCACTTCAAACCATTCTTCCTTCAGACTGAAACGGTCTAAAGTATGGTCAGACTGATTTGTAACCGACTGTCATAGACCCAAATAAAATAGTAGACATTGGCTGTCCATTACGCTACTTGTTTTTTTAGATGGCGGGGTCGCAAAAAAAGGTTGATATCAAAATGGGGTTGCAGGCCAAAAAAGTTTAGGAACCCCTGCTGTAGTGCCTGGTTAACAGGATCCGGTCCTGCCTAGTTAACAGGATCCGGTCCTGCCTAGTTAACAGGATCCGGTCCTGCCTAGTTAACAGGATCCGGTCCTGCCTGGTTAACAGGATCCGGTCCTGCCTGGTTAACAGGATCCGGTCCTGCCTAGTTAACAGGATCCGGTCCTGCCTAGTTAACAGGATCCGGTCCTGCCTAGTTAACAGGATCCGGTCCTGCCTAGTTAACAGGATCCGGTCCTGCCTGGGTAGCAGGATCCGGTCCTGCCTGGTTAACAGGATCCGGTCCTGCCTGGTTAACAGGATCCGGTCCTGCTTACGGACGTCCTGCCTAGTTAACAGGATCCGGTCCTGCCTAGTTAACAGGAATCCGGTCCTGCCTAGTTAACAGGATCCGGTCCTGCCTGGTTAACAGGATCCGGTCCTGCCTGGTTAACAGGATCCGGTCCTGCCTGGTTAACAGGATCCGGTCCTGCCTAGTTAACAGGATCCGGTCCTGCCTAGTTAACAGGATCCGGTCCTGCCTAGTTAACAGGATCCGGTCCTGCCTAGTTAACAGGATCCGGTCCTGCCTAGTTAACAGGATCCGGTCCTGCCTAGTTAACAGATCCGGTCCTGCCTAGTTAACAGGATCCGGTCCTGCCTAGTTAACAGGATCCGGTCCTTCCTAGTTAACAGGATCCGGTCCTGCCTAGTTAACAGGATCCGGTCCTGCCTAGTTAACAGGATCCGGTCCCGCCTAGTTAACAGGATCCGGTCCCGCCTAGTTAACAGGATCCGGTCCTGCCTAGTTAACAGGATCCAGTCCTGCCTAGTTAACAGGATCCGGTCCTGCCTAGTTAACAGGATCCGGTCCTGGTCCCGTCTACCTCTAGTGGTGTGGTTACACACCTGACTACATGTTCCAAAACACACACACACACACACACACACACACACACACACACCTGGTTGGCTAGCACAAAAGGGGACTTATCACAGGGCTTACCGGCCTTCTCCTCGCCAACAGCCACCTCGGCTAAGTAGCGGTAGTAATCTCCTTTCATTTTCAGATAGAAGACTTTGCTCTCGGCTGGAGTAGCATTGGGGATGAGGAACTTGTCCAGAAGACCCTGTAGAGAGAGCGAGACAGAAGAGCGTTTGTTAGAAATATGCAAATAACCGCCACACTCAGTTATTTACATGTGAATTGTTAGCACCAGCCCTGGGTAAGGTGACCAATAGTACAAAGACGGACAACGTCGATGGTTTGGCTCTGAAGGCTGGCTTATCCAGACAGGAAACAATCAATGACTTGCTTCCAATCATAATGGTCAAGAATTGGAATATTCCCTCATCAGGGACCACCGAGTGGGTAAGAGAGGAGAGGCTGATGTCCCAGTGACCTGCCTCTCTCCTCCTCTCCTCTCCAGTGTAATTGGCTCAGTGTGCTTGGTTAGCTCTAGTCTACAGCACAGCACACTCATTTGCAGCTCTGCTGACTACCATCAACGTTTTTCTCTGGTTGTACTGGCAGGTCCAGACCCCAGAACCAAGGTTTCACCTAACAGTGTACTGGCAGGTCCAGACCCCAGAACCAGTTTCTCTAGAGATAAAATCAGATCAAGCCGTGTGATGTAGTAGAGAGTTGTATTTCCAGCCGTGGATGTAGTCAGAGGCAGTGTTTGTAAGTTGTTTCAGCCGTGTGATGTAGTAAGAGTTGTAGTTTCAGCGTGTGATGTAGTAGAGAGTTGTAGTTTCCAGCCGTGTGATGTAGTAGAGAGTTGTAGTTTCCAGCCGTGTGATGTAGTAGAGAGTTGTAGTTTCCAGCCGTGTGATGTAGTAGAGAGTTGTAGTTTCCAGCCGTGTGATGTAGTAGAGAGTTGTAGTTTCCAGCCGGTTGGGGGATGTATGTAGTAGAGTAGTTGTGGAGAGAGTTGTAGTTTCCAGCCGTGTGATGTAGTAGAGAGTTGTAGTTTCCAGCCGTGTGATGTAGTAGAGAGTTGTAGTTTCCAGCCGTGTGATGTAGTAGAGAGTTGTAGTTTCCAGCCGTGTGATGTAGTAGGGAGTTGTAGTTTCCAGCCGTGTGATGTAGTAGAGAGTTGTAGTTTCCAGCCGTGTGATGTAGTAGAGAGTTGTAGTTTCCAGCCGTGTGATGTAGTAGAGAGTTGTAGTTTCCAGCCGTGTGGATGTAGGGTAGTAGAGAGTTGTAGTTTCCAGCCGTTGTGTGTAGTAAGAGAGTTGTAGTTTCCAGCCGTGTGATGTAGTAGGAGTTGTAGTTTCCAGCCGTGTGATGTAGTAGAGAGTTGTAGTTTCCAGCCGTGTGATGTAGTAGAGAGTTGTAGTTTCCAGCCGTGTGATGTAGTAGAGAGTTGTAGTTTCCAGCCGTGTGATGTAGTAGAGAGTTGTAGTTTCCAACAGGCCAATATTCTACATAGTGTATTCAGACCCCTTGACTTTTTTCACATTTTGTTACATTACAGCGTCTTCAAAAATTGATTAAATTGTTTTTCCCCCCTCATCAATCTATACACAATACCCCATAATGACAATGCAAAAACAGGTGTATAGAAATGTTTGTAAATGTATAAAAAATTTAAATAACTGAAATATTATGTTTACATAAGTACTCAGACCCTTTACTCAGTACTTTGTTGAAGCACCTTTGGCAGCGATTACAGCCTCAAGTCGTCTTGGGTATGACACTACAAGCTTGGCATACCTGTATTTGGGGAGTTTCTCTCATTCTTCTCTGCAGATCCTCTCAAGCTCTGTCAGGTTGAATGGTTGGAGCGTCGCTGCACAGCTATTTTCAGGTCTCTCCAGAGATGTTAGATTGTGTTCAAATCTGGGCTCTGGCTGGGCCACTTAAGGACAGAGACTTGTCCCGAAACCACTCCTGCGTTGTCTTGGCTGTGTGCTTAGGGTCATTGTCCTGTTGGAAGGTGAACCTTCGCCCCCAGTCTGAGGACCTGAGCGCTCTGGAGCAGGTTTTCATCAAGGATCTCTCAGTACTTTGCTCCGTTCATCTTTCCCTCGATCCTGACTAGTTTCCCAGTCCCTGCCGCTGAAAAACATCCCCACAGCATGATGCTGCCACCACCATGCTTCACCGTAGGGATGTAGCCCTCTACATGATCATCATCAGACTCTTCATCAACCATCTCCCTGACCACCTTCCTCTGATCAGCCATGAAGTATCCCCTCCATCTTTGGAGGATGCATGTACTCAGAAGACTTGGCCTCTATTGGCTGACCTAACTATAGTTAGGATACTCATGATGTTTGAGATGATTAAAAGCGCTAAAGAAATGTAATATATTATTATTTATTATGAGTATTACATTTTCTGTATTAATACTATGAGGTAATGCTTCTTCCTGTATTAATACTATAAGGTAATGCTTCTTCCTGTATTAATACTATGAGGTAATGCTTCTTCCTGTATTAATACTATAAGATAATGCTTCTTCCTGTATTAATACTATGATGTGATGCTTCTTCCTGTATTAATACTATGAGGTAATGCTTCTTCCTGTATTAATACTATGAGGTAATGCTTCTTCCTGTATTAATACTATGAGGTAATGCTTTTTCCTGTATTAATACTATGAGGTAATGCTTCTTCCTGTATTAATACTATGAGGTAATGCTTCTTCCTGTATTAATAATATAAGGTAATGCTTCTTCCTGTATTAATACTACAAGGCAATGCTTCTTCCTGTATTAATAATATAAGGTAATGCTTCTTCCTGTATTAATACTATGAGGTAATGCTTCTTCCTGTATTAATACACTGCTCAAAAAAATAAAGGGAACACTTAAACAACACATCCTAGATCTGAATGAATAAAATAATCTTATTAAATACTTTTTTCTTTACATAGTTGAATGTGCTGACAACAAAATCATACAAAAATTATCAATGGAAATCAAATTTATCAACCCATGGAGGTCTGAATTTGGAGTCACCCTCAAAATTAAAGTGGAAAACCACACTACAGGCTGATCCAACTTTGATGTAATGTCCTTAAAACAAGTCAAAATGAGGCTCAGTAGTGTGTGTGGCCTCCACGTGCCTGTATGACCTCCCTACAACGCCTGGGAATGCTCCTGATGAGGTGGCGAATGGTCTCCTGAGGGATCTCCTCCCAGACCTGGACTAAAGCATCCGCCAACTCCTGGACAGTCTGTGGTGCAACGTGGCGTTGGTGGATGGAGCGAGACATGATGTCCCAGATGTGCTCAATTGGATTCAGGTCTGGGGAACGGGCGGGCCAGTCCATAGCATCAATGCCTTCCTCTTGCAGGAACTGCTGACACACTCCAGCCACATGAGGTCTAGCATTGTCTTGCATTAGGAGGAACCCAGGGCCAACCGCACCAGCATATGGTCTCACAAGGGGTCTGAGGATCTCATCTCGGTACCTAATGGCAGTCAGGCTACCTCTAGCGAGCACATGGAGGGCTGTGCGGCCCCCCAAAGAAATGCCACCCCACACCATGACTGACCCACCGCTAAACCGGTCATGCTGGAGGATGTTGCAGGCAGCAGAATGTTCTCCACGGCGTCTCCAGACTCTGTCACGTCTGTCACGTGCTCAGTGTGAACCTGCTTTCATCTATGAAGAGCACAGGGCGCCAGTGGCGAATTTGCCAATCTTGGTGTTCTCTGGCAAATGCCAAACGTCCTGCACGGTGTTGGGCTGTAAGCACAACCCCAACCTGTGGACGTCGGGCCCTCATACCACCCTCATGGAGTCTGTTTCTGACCGTTTGAGCAGACACATGCACATTTGTGGCCTGCTGGAGGTCAATTTGCAGGGCTCTGGCAGTGCTCCTCCTGCTCCTCCTTGCACAAAGGCGGAGGTAGCGGTCCTGCTGCTGGGTTGTTGCCCTCCTACGGCCTCCTCCACATCTCCTGATGTACTGGCCTGTCTCCTGGTAGCGCCTCCATGCTCTGGACACTACGCTGACAGACACAGCAAACCTTCTTGCCACAGCTCGCATTGATGTGCCATCCTGGATGAGCTGGACTACCTGAGCCACTTGTGTGGGTTGTAGACTCCGTCTCATGCTACCACTAGAGTGAAAGCACCGCCAGCATTCAAAAGTGACCAAAACATCAGCCAGGAAGCATAGGAACTGAGAAGTGGTCTGTGGTCACCACCTGCAGAACCACTTCTTTATTGGGGGTGTCTTGCTAATTGCCTATAATTTCCACCTGTTGTCTATTCCATTTGCACAACAGCATGTGAAATTGATTGTCAATCAGTGTTGCTTCCTAAGTGGACAGTTTGATTTCACAGAAGTGTGATTGACTTGGAGTTACATTGTGTTGTTTAAGTGTTCCCTTAAATTCTTTGAGCAGTGTACTATGAGGTAATGCTTCTTCCTGTATTAATACTATGAGGTAATGCTTCTTCCTATATTAATACTATAAGGTAATGCTTCTTCGCGTATTAATACTATGAGGTAATGCTTCTTCCTGTATTAATACTATGAGGTAATGCTTCTTCCTGTATTAATACTACGAGGTAATGCTTCTTCCTGTATTAATACTACGAGGTAATGCTTCTTCCTGTATTAATACTACAAGGTAATGCTTCTTCCTGTATTAATACTACAAGGCAATGCTTCTTCCTGTATTAATACTATAAGGTAATGCTTCTTCCTGTATTAATACTATAGGTAATGCTTTTCCTGTATAATACTATGAGGTAATGCGTCTTCCTGTATTAATACTATGAGGTAATGCTTCTTCCTGTATTCATACTAGAGGTAAGCTTCTTCCTGTATTAATACTATAAGGTAATGCTTCTTCCTGTATTAATACTATGAGGTAATGCTTCTTCCTGTATTAATACTATGAGGTAATGCGTTCTTCCTGTATTAATACTATGAGGTAATGCTTCTTCCTGTATTAATACTATAAGGTAATGCTTTTCCTGTATTAATACTATGAGGTAATGCTTCTTCCTGTATTAATACTATGAGGTAATGCGTCTTCCTGTATTAATACTATAAGGTAATGCTTCTTCCTGTATTAATACTATAAGGTAATGCTTCTTCCTGTATTAATACTATGAGGTAATGCTTCTTCCTGTATTAATACTATGAGGTAATGCTTCTTCCTGTATTAATACTATAAGGTAATGCTTCTTCCTGTATTAATACGATAAGGTAATGCGTCTTCCTGTATTAATACTATGGGGTAATGCTTCCTGTATTATCTAAGGTATGCTTTCTGTATTAATACTATGAGGTAATGCTTCTTCCTGTATTAATACTATAAGGTAATGCTTCTTCCTGTATTAATACTATGAGGTAATGCTTCTTCCTGTATTAATACTATGAGGTAATGCTTCTTCCTGTATTAATACTATAGGTAATGCTTCTTCCTGTATTAATACTATGAGGTAATGCTTCTTCCTGTATTAATACTATAAGGTAATGCTTCTGCCTGTATTAATACTATAAGGTAATGCTTCTTCCTGTATTAATACTATGAGGTAATGCTTCTTCCTGTATTAATACTATAAGGTAATGCTTCTTCCTGTATTAATACTATAAGGTAATGCTTTTTCCTGTATTAATACTATGAGGTAATGCTTCTTCCTGTATTAATACTATAAGGTAATGTTTCTTCCTGTATTAATACTATAAGGTAATGCTTCTTCCTGTATTAATACTATGAGGTAATGCTTCTTCCTGTATTAATACTATAAGGTAATGCTTCTTCCTGTAGTGTACTGGTACCACACATTCTAATCTCCTGGGAAATGCACTGAACCACTTGACTGACTCCTCTTGAACAGGGTTTCCCAAACTCGGTCCTGCCCCCCTCCCCCCCCCCCGTACACGTTTTAGTTTTTGCCCTAGCACCACACAGCTGATTCAAATAATCAAAGCTTGATGATGAGTTGGTTATTTGAATCAGCTGTGTAGTGCTAGGGGCAACAACCAAAACATGCACCCAGGGGACGTCTCTCTCTCACCTGAGACACTTGTCCCTGTCAGAGTGTCTCTACAACGGGACAGAGATGAGGAATGGAATAATGAGCTGAATGAGGTCCTGGGTACTGGCTGACAGCTGATTACTGACAGAACTGGACCAGGGCCAGGCGCAGGCAGGAAAACCTCAATCATTACAGGATAAGGGGAGGGGCAAGGTTTGGGGGAGAGCCCCCTGTTGTAGCACCTCCTCAATAAATGGACAGTTGATGGATAGCAAATGATATGGCATTTTGAAGGATGAAAGCTCACTATGGGTCAAGCCACCTAAAACACTTAGCATCATATCTGATGGGGATTTAGTAGCTGTAGAACCTATAGTCTAGTCCTCCTTCCTACGGTCTGGGTGAAAGACGGGTAGCATCAGAGGACATAAAGCACGAATGGCCGGAGACCCCCACACAGAGAGACTATGCTTCTCATAGAGACCCCCACACAGAGAGACTATGCCTCTCATAGAGACCCCCACACAGAGAGACTATGCCTCTCATAGAGACCCCCACACAGAGACAGACTATGCCTCTCATAGAGACCCCCACACAGAGACAGACTATGCCTCTCATAGAGACCCCCACACAGAGACAGACTATGCCTCTCATAGAGACCCCCACACAGAGACAGACTATGCCTCTCATAGAGACACACACACAGAGACAGACTATGCTTCTCATAGAGGACCCCTAAACAGAGACAGACTATGCTTCTCATAGAGACCCCCACACAGAGACAGACTATGCTTCTCATAGAGACCCCCACACAGAGACAGACTATGCCTCTCATAGAGACCCCCACACAGAGACAGACTATGCTTCTCATAGAGACCCCCACACAGAGACAGACTATGCTTCTCATAGAGACCCCCACACAGAGACAGACTATGCTTCTCATAGAGACCCCCACACAGAGACAGACTATGCCTCTCATAGAGACCCCCACACAGAGACAGACTATGCCTCTCATAGAGACACACACACAGAGACAGACTATGCTTCTCATAGAGACCCCCACACAGAGACAGACTATGCTTCTCATAGAGACCCCCACACAGAGACAGACTATGCCTCTCATAGAGACCCCCACACAGAGACAGACTATGCTTCTCATAGAGACCCCCACACAGAGACAGACTATGCTTCTCATAGAGACCCCCACACAGAGACAGACTATGCTTCTCATAGAGACCCCCACACAGAGACAGACTATGCCTCTCATAGAGACCCCCACACAGAGACAGACTATGCTTCTCATAGAGACCCCCACACAGAGACAGACTATGCCTCTCATAGAGACCCCCACACAGAGACAGACTATGCTTCTCATAGAGACACACACACAGAGACAGACTATGCCTCTCATAGAGACCCCCACACAGAGACAGACTATGCTTCTCATAGAGACCCCCACACAGAGACAGACTATGCTTCTCATAGAGACCCCTACACAGAGACAGACTATGCTTCTCATAGAGACCCCCACACAGAGACAGACTATGCTTCTCATAGAGACCCCCACACAGAGACAGACTATGCCTCTCATAGAGACCCACACACAGAGACAGACAGTAGTCTTACCAGCACATCATTACAGATCTCCTTCAGTTCCTTCTCTATCTTCTCTCTGTACTCCTTGGCCATGGCCTGCTTCTTCTCACTACCCTCAGTCTTCTGCTCGATGCTGGACACCACCCTCCAGGAGGAGCGCCGGGCCCCCACCACGTTCTTATAGGCCACGGAGAGGAGGTTCCGCTCCTCGTTGGACAACTGGGTGCCCTCCTCCGTTACAGCCTTCATGGAGGCCGCCATGTCATCGTAGCGCTCGGCCTGCTCCGCCAGCTTAGCCTTCTGGACCAGCTCCTTCTGAACCACCTCGCTCTTGTCAACCATGGCTACTCAGGACTGAGGAGGGAGAAGAAGAAGACATGTCAACCATGGTTACTAGGGACAGAGGAGGGAGAAGAAGAAGACATGTCAACCATGGTTACTAGGGACTGAGGAGAGAGAAGAAGAAGACATGTCAACCATGGTTACTAGGGACTGAGGAGGGAGAAGAAGAAACATGTCAACCATGGTTACTAGGGACTGAGGAGGGAGAAGAAGAAGACATGTCAACCATGGTTACTAGGGACTGAGGAGGGAGAAGAAGAAAACATGTCAACCATGGTTACTAGGGACTGAGGAGGGAGAAGAAGACATGTCAACCATGGTTACTAGGGACTGAGGAGGGAGAAGAAGAAACATGTCAACCATGGTTACTAGGGACTGAGGAGGGAGAAGAAGAAACATGTCAACCATGGTTACTAGGGACTGAGGAGGGAGAAGAAGAAGACATGTCAACCATGGTTACTAAGGACTGAGGAGGGAGAAGAAAACATGTCAACCATGGTTACTAGGGACTGAGGAGGGAGAAGAAGAAACATGTCAACCATGGTTACTAGGGACTGAGGAGGGAGAAGAAGAAGACATGTCAACCATGGTTACTAAGGACTGAGGAGGGAGAAGAAAACATGTCAACCATGGTTACTAGGGACTGAGGAGGGAGAAGAAGAAACATGTCAACCATGGTTACTAGGGACTGAGGAGGGAGAAGAAAACATGTCAACCATGGTTACTAGGGACTGAGGAGGGAGAAGAAGAAACATGTCAGCCATGGAGAGGGACATCTTGGAATAACAGGGTTATAACACTGTCAGACAACAGAAAATACATGGTTACTCAGAAGAGGAGAGAGAAATGTTGGCATGACATGTTGCTGGAAGGCTGCTACACTTGATACAATACAGGGGAACACAGGGTCAAGCCGCAGTGGAGCGCACCTGGATGGAGAGCAAGTTGTGTGTTAAGTGTCTTGCTCAAGTAAGAACTCATAGGCTCAGGGTAATTTCTGATAATAAAACAAGTACCAGAAAAAGTTACAATATCACTCTGGTAAATGTAGCAAACAGTTTCTTCCTCGTAATTTAGAAACAAAAGTGAAGTGCGTTTTGATCCACAATGTAACAAAATGGTCCACAGAGCAGAAACCAGGGCCTACCCAAACAGACAGTAGTGAGAGAAGTACTACACTGGGGGGGGGTATCCGACGACAACATCTTCTTTAGTGTGAATGAATCAATAACCTACATCCGCTGGTACCATGAAGAACGGCCCACGGGTCTACTGACAGCACTGATGTTTACCATGCTCAATCAATCCCAGATTTTCCATTCCAGCATGTACATGTAGACAAGCCTGGTGTACTGTGGCTTGGGGTCACGACACATGCACTGTGGATTTCCGCTAACATGCATGGAGCCTTCGCACTGGAAACATTATCCAGGAAAGACTTAATGTGGATGGTATGCAATACACACCAGTGAAATCACGCTAGCCTGGGGCTGGGCTGCCTGGTTCCTACCGTGTAAAGAAAAACGCGGATGTGCATTCACTCCCTGCCATGCCACACCCATTTGTACCTGTTGTAATGATTAGCATAGAACAGACGGGGCTGGCTAGCATTTACATACTGTTCAATTCATGTACTTTTAGTTAGCTACATTGAATGTGCAATGGATTTAACGTTAGACTGATTCATCGCCGAGCTAACTATAATCGCCAATGGGAGCATAACGAGCGAAATGCTATCGCCCCGCCTTAAAATGACAACTGTTTTACTATTGTTGCTCATCCGGAAATGACTAGCTAGTTAGCTACTAGCGAACCCGGCATTCCGCACAATCAAACGTGCATGTGACATAGCTTGTTAACATTAGCTACGATCGATCAAAATGAGAGGGTAGAAACAGCAAGATTAGTTAGCTACTTTATTTATACGAGTTAGCTAGCTAACAAGGCCGCTAAATAAGTTATCCATGCGAGTAAAGTGTTGGCTGAGACTGACTTGTTAGCTAGGTCGTGACCTGCCTCCAAGTCCTAATTTAGGCGGCTAGAAACCTTCGCAAAAACCGACGTGAATTTTTCCTATTTATTCCAACTACCCATTTTTTACATTTCGAATACTGTTGTGTGTCAGCAAATGGCGAATACTGGGTCCAAGGACGGTTTAACTTGAGTTAACTACGGAACTAGTGCCGACCAAGCCCATTTGGAATAAACTCTGTTGGTCTAGCCTGGCTTGTTACCTTGCTAGATGTCTGCTATTGCTAACCAAATTCGATATATTAGCTAGCAGTTGGTAGAGCATGGCGCTTGTAACGTCGGGGTTGTGGGTTCGATTCCCACGGGGGTCCAGTATGAAAAATGTATGCACTCACTAACTGTAAGTCGCTCTGGATAAGAGCGTCTGCTAAATGACTAAAATAAAGTAAAAAAACATGCATTGTCGATTATCACATTAGGTAAAAACGCCTTCAAAAAGGTTAACTAATTGAAGCCAACTCGAAACATGACAGGATGTACAAAAAGCTGGCCTAGCGCTAAAAAAACCCAGAAACAAAACAGCTAGCTATTGTTCTTGGTCGGCTAGTTACATTCCTAACGAACATTTAGTAGCTGGCTAACGTTAGCCACCTGACAAAACTAACCGGAGCTCTACCGTTACACATACTACGCGCTACTTTCCCCCAGTAAGCCCCGTTAAACACACAACAGAAAACATTTCTAAACCTGAATCTGTCATTACTGTAAGGAAGAACCGCCTCTTACCTGAGTGCTAAGGGATAGTGGTGTTCTCGGTCTAGCTAGCTAGCTACGTTACACCGCTGATTCTCTCACAACCCGTCTGAGTGCTAAGGGATAGTGGTGTTCTCGGTCTAGCTAGCTAGCTACGTTACACGGCTGATTCTCTCACTGAGTGCTAAGGGATAGTGGTGTTCTCGGTCTAGCTAGCTAGCTACGTTACACCGCTGATTCTCTCACAACCCGTCTGAGCGCTAAGGGATAGTGGTGTTCTCGGTCTAGCTAGCTAGCTACGTTACACCGCTGATTCTCTCACAACCCGTCTGAGCGCTAAGGGATAGTGGTGTTCTCGGTCTAGCTAGCTAGCTACGTTACACCGCTGATTCTCTCACAACCCGTCTGAGCGCTAAGGGATAGTGGTGTTCTCGGTCTAGCTAGCTAGCTACGTTACACCGCTGATTCTCTCACAACCCGTCTGAGCGCTAAGGGATAGTGGTGTTCTCGGTCTAGCTAGCTAGCTACGTTACACGGCTGATTCTCTCACTGAGCGCTAAGGGATAGTGGTGTTCTCGGTCTAGCTAGCTAGCTACGTTACACCGCTGATTCTCTCACAACCCGTCTGAGTGCTAAGGGATAGTGGTGTTCTCGGTCTAGCTAGCTAGCTACGTTACACCGCTGATTCTCTCACAACCCGTCTGAATGTAATCCACGGGGTTTCCCTCCAATCACACCCCACAAGCAGGGAGGGGTCGTCACTAGTTACCACATCCACGAAGTCATAATTATGGCTAATCCCCGCCTATTTCTACAAGTTATCTTCTTAAAATCTGATTTTAACCCTAACTTTAACCACACTGCTAACATTATGCCTTAACCTTTAAATGAAGACCAAAGGGAACATTTTGATTTTCATGAATTACGATATAGCCAATTGTGACTTTACTGGCTGTGGTAACTAGTGACAACAAGCCGGGAGGGGTGACGTCAAAGGATACCATGGCAACCCGTGATTGACGTGATGGTTTATCGATTGTTCGATGAAAAACTCCTTTATCAGAAGAGGTGGAGGGCGCGCTTTCAGAAAATGTTGTTTTTGCAACCTATTTAAAATATAATAAAAATGTACTTCTATACCCTACCTATAATAAAGGCCTGAGAGACCGTGATTGATTATCCCAGCACTACCACCTACATAGCGATTTGGGGGAACAGTCAGAATGGGGCGTAAACTAGTTACAGGTAAAAATGTCAGAATCTTCTATGGTGAACAAACATGCGGTATTGACAGACTAATACATGTAGGTAATTTGACTAATACATGTAGGTAATTTGACTAATACATGTAGGTAATTTGACTAATACATGTAGGTAATTTGACTAATACATGTAGGTAATTTGACTAATACATGTAGGTAATTTGACTAATACATGTAGGTAATTTGACTAATGCATGTAGGTAATTTGACTAATACATGTAGGTAATTTGACTAATGCATGTAGGTAATTTGACTAATACATGTAGGTAATTTGACTAATACATGTAGGTAATTTGACTAATACATGTAGGTAATTTGCCTAATACATGTAGGTAATTAGACTAATACATGTAGGTAATTAGACTAATACATGTAGGTAATTTGACTAATACATGTAGGTAATTTGACTAATACATGTAGGTATTTGAATACTGTAGTAATTGACATACATAGTATTGTGA